TGATCAGTGACAGCCAAAAGATATGAGACCATTTGGTTTTCTAAAATAAACCTTGAGTACAATTATTCCATCAACAGGATATTCTGAAATATGTAGGCTCAAATCTGTAGAAAAAGATACAAACATGTATTTTTAAATACTTTAAAAAGCAGTCGACATCATTCAAAACAGAATCTAATAGAAATGATTGTCTTTTCGTGAGATTACCACGGCTATATTTGGGTATTTCTTAAACGTCTCATCTTCATTCTGACGCACAGACAGCGCGGGACACCTGAGCCTATGTTAGTATCACTTCCTAAAATGTAATAAAAGCTATACTGACACTTTACCAGGGGGCTCTAAAATAATTCCAACGTATTTCCTAAACAGCTTTAGGTAGCAGGAAGCAATGACAAGTCAGCATTGGAATCATTCCTTTCAGGGGTCAAAAAGACCCCAGAGGTCAGCTTTCCAGGCTATTTAGGGAGAAAGGGAGACAATGGGCAGCGGGGCTTTTCCTTTTCAGTGCGGTGCTTCTTTCCCCACACCCTCACCCAAGTTATCCAGCACCCAAAGGAAATTGTTTCTGATGAAATTTCTTCTGCTCTAAGGTAAGTTAATCTTGCTTATGAAAAATTTCTGCCCTGGTCCCCATAAGGAAGTAATTAAACGTTAGCATACTTCAACATTACCACACATTTTACATACATCACGAACATTTTTGCAACTCATGCTTAACGTTAAATTTTGCTCTCTGTGCAGCTTTTAATTAAAGTTTTTCAGATGGAATTCTCATTTGTGGTGATGAGTGCCCTTACCATTACCCTTAATTTGATGCTGCTGTTATATGAGGTAATTCAAAAATATCTTTGGTTTGAGGTTATAGATTGGGAACCTGGTATATGCACTGGATCTTACAAGGACATGAAAAACTTTGGCACATGAATTAATAAATACTAACTCTAGTACTCCAAGTGCTACTTAACAGATGTTTTACTGTGGGCTCTCCTTTACATCACTGGATTAATTATCTCTCTCAAGAGGCACACAGAGAAAGTAAATGTAGAGTTAGGCATCTGGGCCACTCTTCATGTAATGTGAATGGCTAACTCACCAAGGACAGGAGAATTTCCTATGAAATGGTCCCTTCCAACTAGCAGTACATGGCCGACATTGCTTACCCAGATAGTCAGATCCATCTTCAACTCTGACCAAAACCATTACCTTTAGTTTAGTAACTAGAAATAACACAGGGATTAGGGTTTGCAGACTGTAAGTGAAACTTAAAGTGAGTCACTTGTTTAGTGGACTTTGGATTGCTTGGTTTTGAAAGTAGAAAAAATACACTAAATTAAAATTTGCGTTCCAGAAAATACCAATTCAATTGTCTCAGAGCGGTATGTCGGTGCTCCTCCATAGAACTGGAGTGTCCCGCTCATCGTAAACAACAGGGGTAGCTGAGAAATTACACGTTGAAGGGATACTTCGTGGTTGCAGTCTTGGGTTAAAGGACGCTGCCCGACTCCCAGGTTTCCTAGGGTATACCCCAAGTGCTATGACAATTCTGGGACTCCTCCAAACCTCAGTGGTCGTCTTGGAAAATCCAATCCAAGCCAGAACACCACCCTGAACCTGGGCTGACCCCAGGGGCCCACCAGTCCATGAAAAACTTGGAGTCCTGTTGACCTTCTAAACTAGATTACTCTAAGGTAACTCCAAGCAACCATGACTCAGTTCTCATTACAGGGAACAAAAGGGACATTTCTGGCACTACTGAATATACCAAAGGATAGAACACTCACTGCTACAGCAGCACATGAAACACCAAAGAACAGTGGATAGTTTCAAGGACACCAGGAGGGATATCTTTTAGATTCCATATGGTATTGTGACTCCAGATTGCAACAGAGACTTGGAGAGTTCGGGGCAGGGAAGCCTTTGAAAAATAATGTTGATCTGAGAGAGCAAGGGAAAGGAGAAGGCTAATGTTTGTCTGTGAAGTAGCTAAACAAAGAAAAAAACACATTAAATTCATACACGTGTATAATTTTTAAAAATTAGGTAACTGAACACTTGAAAAACTAAACCTGTGTCCCTCAACGTATCAGTGATCCAATCTTATGGGGTATTTTCACTTCACTGGCTTTCCAAAGGTCCAAACTCTCTATAATGATAAACTCCTCCACCATTCTCACAATTCATAATTAAGACCAATTCGTTATTTTGGATTTACATCTACGTTGTCTGATACCCTTTTATTTCTCTGTACTAGCCCCCAAAATAACAAAAGTATTTTTAACTGCAAATACACTAGATTCCAAATCTGACAAATATTTCAATTCATGAGACACCTATAGCACATTATCTATATTTGTACACTTTATTTAAAAACAAATACACTTAGAACCACCAAAAAAGGATATCTTAATGAGCTTATCCATACCCTGAATTTACAAAAGAAACTTGCACCACAAAAATTAGCATTTGGATTAATTTACATTAATTGATATTAGAATGAATTTTTAAAATACCTGAAGATCATACAATCTGACCCAAGGTTCACCAGTTGGGGTGGGGGGGGCAGGGGGGGAGGGCGGGGAGTGGAGAAAAGGAGTTACCTAGGAGTTACCTAGGAATCTAAACTGGTGATGCCCTGAGGTCAGCTCTAGTAAACTGAAGTTGAGAACACGTAAGATAAGAGATTTCAGGATTACAGAGGAGTGGTTTCTCCTAAAAACAGTTACTAGATCATACAGTTGGGATCGAGTGTAGGGGGTAACTCTTCATCTGGATTGGAAAACTGTGTGGAGAAGGTGGGTTGTATTTGTTTCTCACAAGAGGCAAACTTCAGCCAAACAATAAGAAAAAAGTAAGGAGGGAGGTATGCGACATGCTGAAGACATTCTGATCGCTGCTAACACCAAACTAAGCAGCCCTCTCCAAGTCAACTAAAATACCGTTCTCTGAGATGTTTTCAGAGAGGAGCTAATACACAACCAGGGAAAAATCATTCTACATAAACAAGGCACTCACTGGTTCACAGCCTGTTAAAAACCCAGGCAGACATTACAGTTAACCTAAATTAAAAAGAGCTTTCTAATTTGCATCACAGGGATGACAAACATGTGGTCCCAGTTAAACCAAATCTAAAGCTTGATTAGCAAAGATCCAGAAAATTCTAACCCCTAAGCACTACTTCAGGAATACTGCTGGAATAAATAAGTGGGATCTAGGGATCTCTGTTTGACCTAAGATTTAAGAATTTAAAAAAAAAAAAAAAAGACAAAAAACACCCCTAATGCAATCTGTTAAATACTTTGTCAGCCTCCTGTCCCTTACACTGACATGGAGACGCAGTTGGATAATGAGTATGGCCAATTAAAAAGCCTTCAGTAGCAAAGGTAAAAGTTATTTCAATCATTTAGCAATGACCTATCCTGTTTCTACACATAGCTGTCAGTCTTCTGGACCTTCCCCTAAAATGAACTTTGGGAATTGATACACTTCACAAAAATATACATATAATTTCTGTCAACAACTACTTTTGTACAACCTGAGTCCCAAGTGTCAAACACTTAAAGGTCTGCAATTATATAAACAAGTAACAGTAATGGAGGCAACTGATGAGTAAATAAAATTGTGTACTTAATTGCCTTGAAATAGTTTTCAAAGAATAAAATAAGTTGAACAAAATTATACTTAGAGCTATTTTTCCATATAAATTCAACAACAGTTTGGCTCTTGGTTGAAAACATCACACAGACATAGATACTAACCAGAGATTTATCTATCTCAACTATTAATATTAATGATAAAATTTAAGCAGTTCTTTCAAAAGAAAATCAAAATTAATTGTCCCTCAATCCGATTTGTGAAATCTTAGTTCAATATAACTTAAATGACAAAGCCTGAGAAAAGCACCAACATAAATTTTTAAATTGCATCCAACCATCATTTCAGATGTCATACAGATTTGCTTTAGTTAAAATGGCAGCAATGACAAAGAGGTAGATATAAAAGATGCCATTTAAATACTATTCTTAGGTGGAATTGTAACTAGTTCTGGTGATTATCTAAAAATAATTTTTACTAGTTGAATCTTCATTACATAAGAATTTCATGACATGCTCTTGTGTAAGAGGGAAACATATGAAGTACTAAAAAAAAGTGAGTTTTTAAAAATTACTCTTACTTAGCCAACATGAATGAGATCCCATAATTTTGGTAAGCCAATAATTTCTCCTTTTACCCAAACTTGACTATAATGAGGTGAGTTATTTTCTTCACTACTAAAATATTTAGGAATTCACATTCAAAATTCTTGGAAAGTATACATGGTGCTCAGAAGAGCACAAAGACAGCGCATGAAATGTCCCCTGAAGTCCTAGAAGTTGAGCAGATACATTGAAAAGACATCGTGGTCACAAATCAGGACCTTCACAGATTGGCGCATGCACACACACACTACACATACACAATTATCCTCTCTCTCTCTCCCCCTCCCCCCCAAAATCAATCCTCATCCTCACTGTAAGGCTGCGTTTGTATTTTTTTTAAAGGCACCTCTCATTCTCTAGCTATTGCCTTCTTGATGATACATGTTTTGTTAAAAATCCTGAATGTTTGATGGAAATAGTTCATTACTGAGATTGGAATATTTTTCAATTCACATTTAAATAGCCAAGTTTTCTTACATTCAGATTTTAATAAACTAGAATGACAGTCTTTAAAACAAGCATGCTAGCCTATAATGAATATAGTATTTACAGTAATTTAAACAGTTAGAACTATATATATTATACTGCAAAAGTAAACAGCACAACACTCATCATACTCATCATTACCTGCTGTGTACACTACCTCCAAAAATGAAAATACAAAACAGTAAAATGCACCTATGGTTTTTTATATATATATATATATATATATAGTCTATATATATATATTATATATATCCTTATAATATATATAATATATATTTATAAAATTTACATATTTATTTTAGACATTTTCAAATAAATCATCTTCTCCAAAAGAAATTTATAGCAAGAATACTGAAGGAATGAAAGTCGGATAAACAAAAAATTTCTCACAAAGTTCATTATCAGTGATGCAGCTCAATTTCTCCCCTTTTAGTCACAACTAAAATGATTATAAAAGCTAAATACTTTGCATAACTAATTATCTGTTTAATGGCAAAAATTGATAAACCTGTTCAATAGAAAAATACTGAAGGTCATTATATCACTTATGTTAAATATCACTCTATGGTCCGAGTAGCGAATGAGCCCCATACGACTGCTGAGTCTGGAGAAGGGTGCTGTGGGCTCCCACAGGTGTATCCACAGCATATGAAAATAAGGCAGGAACCCACATCTCTTGATGATTTTCATACTATTCCAATACATTTCATCCAAAATATTTACAAACCAAGCCCTATGAAAGTATTTCAGTGACTGTTCAAATCATGATTTTGTTTTCATTTTGTGAATTTTGTTCACCTTTTCAATGGGCTGAGGGAAAAATCGGACATGTGTATATGCTTCTATCTGGTTGGAAGGCAGCTTTGGCTCATGGTTAGGCTGAGATCACACAGCACTAGTAGAGAAGAATCTCTGTTTCTATGTACAGTCTCCAGAGGCACAGCACTGGCTTCCTAAGGAACTTTCAACAGTTCCATCACTTGCACTACGGTCTATATATCTCATGGTTATTTTCCACTCACTAACAGAAAACTTTCAACCGTGAGGTATAAAATGCAGGTGAAGAGAAAGTCTTGGCTTTGAGAATTTCAGTGACATAAATAAAGAAGGTACTGAAGACCTTTAATTACCTTGGCTGGTAATTAAAAGCGATAACTGATAGAACGATAGCTTTGTGGTTGTCCATCATAAATATGCCAAGGGCGGACACCTGGCTAGAATTTTCCAGTATCATTTTACAAATGCTAGGCTGGCAATGCCATTACTTTACTCTGCGAAAAACCAAAAGAGGAATTCACCGAACACAACGTGGAATTCCATTATCTGCCTGGGAATATAAACATTCACCTGGTATGTAGCTCGGCTATGATGTGGTAGCTCATGTCCAGGTCAATTTATCTGATTATACAAGAGTCCCTTGAGCCCACTGTTAACCAAAGCACAGATGAAATGACAGGGTAGCTGTGTCAAAATATTAAAGCATATCTGTATTACCACCAAGCAAATTTAGCACAGGTCCTTAAAGAAAATTTGCCTGTGTAGTGAAGAATTCTACAAATAGACAAGCAGAAATTTTAAAGAAAAATTGCCAATTACTATCCACATCAATGTCAGAATAATTCTTCAAGGAGTACATATCATTTGAAGTGCAATTGTTATGACAATGGAATATGTGGGGATAGGAACATAGGAATTGTATGAAAAGGTTAAAATATTTATGTATGTGAAGTTTTTAAAAAGTCTGAGAGCCTATTATATATACATTTTGCTGAAAAGTTGGATATTAGTAGTTTATTTCTAATTTCTAGATTGGTCTCTGACATTCTGAGAAAACAAGAGTGTGCGAGGAGGCGAGTGTGGCAGGGATGAGGTCTGTCCACCAGGTTCAGAGAGTAGGGTCGTGAGAATCCCAAGAGCTGACAGACCACGTCAGTCAGAGGCAAGGAGCTCAGGGAGCCCTGGTCCTTTAAGATATGATTTTCCCCAGAAACAATATCGATTCACTGCCCATTAAAACATGCTGTGTTTTAAACAATGGATGAGGGGTAGGGAGGGGAAAAGAGAGAGAAAACTATCCAATATTATACACTGAGCTCTTCCATCCAAATTTTCAAGAGGTTCTTCTTATTGGAGATGTTAATAGAGGACTTCTGAAGTATAAAACATTTGCTTTATTTAGTATGTCTGCAAAAACAGCTGACTGAGATTAACCATACCCTGTGGAGTGTTAAAACATAATTATGAACTACTTTTGGTAGGTGTCAGATAATTTGAATATGAAAGACAAAAAGAACGAGCAGAGATCATTTGAAATGTGGTTATGTGGGTTTTGATAAATGAGTATTTGCAAATAACTACCATCTTTTCAACCACTGAAAAGTTAAGATTTTATCAATATGAAATAACCACTCTGATACTATAAATATCACATGAATAAAGTGAATTTTAAAATTAATAGAATTTTTATAAAGATATGCCCTGCTTGCCTTAAAAATAAACAGAATCTTACACCTGAATTAAGTTAAATCCTTTAGTAAAAGCAGAGTCTATCAACTATTCTTCATAATGTTGAGCTTTTGACGGTTAAACTTTAGAATGGCAACAAATCCACTTTCAAAAATGTAATACAATATAGATATCTGTTTACAAACTGAATATTTGTTTAGCATTTCTGAATAATAATATATTTAACATATTATTGCATTTCTTTTTTTCCCCCTAATAGGTAAAATGCTTTGCCAGGTACTTTATGTGACCAACTGAAAGGAGAGCTAAATTAAAAACTCATTTTAACATTGCCTGGTCATTATGTACATAGGGATTAGTTCAGCAGATATGGTAGAGATTAATGTTTTGACTACCTAATGTGTTTAACGAGATTTCTCAGGGGAGAACTAGGTCTAAATTTCGGCTCTTCCTCTACTCATTCCCAGCCACCAAGCTTTTAAATTATCCCTTACATTGTGCCCCATTTACTCAATAGGGGACAAGCTAAACCTATGTTCGCTCAGGCCTGCCTAGCGAATTAGAACAACTTTTGAAATAAAAATTCCTATTTTGGGAAAATTTTGAGACAGTTTTCAGGCTCACAGATTCCGCTGAGCTTGCAGCAAACTGAACAACCTTAGTTTTAGAAAACAGTATACGAATTGCAAAACTATTCTTTAACAAATGTTCTCTGTGCTCCTTCAGCAGAAAAGGGCAAAAGGGGTTGATTCTTGCCCTGGTCTCTTGTTATCTCCTTTGTGCAGTTGATTATTTATAAAGAGCTAGAAGGTGAAGAAGATGCATTCTGTCATACAAAGACTTTAGCCAGTGCATCAGCCCCAGCACTGGCTATATAGCATTTGGATGGGTGGAAAGCTACATCATGAATTGATTCTTCAAACTTTTTCCGATGAGCTGTGAACTCCTGGATACATGTCTTACTTTCTAGGTTCCATAAACGTATTGAACAGTCATGACCTATATCAAAAGAAAGAAATTGAATGGAAAAATTATATTAACATGAAAATGATAAGAATAAATAAATAATACAGAGTTGATGTACTTACTGCCAGACATCAAGTACAGGCCATTTGGGTCAACTGCTAAACTTGTAACAGCTTCTAGGTGGGCTACCATCGAGTGGATCAGTTTGCCTTTGGAAAAAGAGAGTGTTACTCTTTATTAACAGCTTTCCTCATCCTGAATATATGCCAGTTACCACGTTACACTGGTTTCTCCACTCATCCCTCTCTGCGTACTTACTAAATCAATAGCTTTTTTCATCAGCTAAAACAATAGTGTTTCTTTCCCCACTCTAGCCATGGTAATGATGGGAAACAAAAGCTCAAATTCCAAATTATATTTTTGTCTTTCAGTCACAATATAAAAGTCAGTAAGCCATGTGCATTAACTAGAACTCAGACATTAATCACCTTTAGCTACAGACCAGTTATATGGATCATGGAAACAGAAGAGACTGAAACAGAGACAAAGGAACAGAGAGAAAACCTAGCCACGACTTTGCTGGAAACAATAAACAGAGAGTTTGAGAATGTTAAATTATTCGTCACTCATAGCTAAGAAAAGTCAGCAAAAGTCAACATATTTACAAAGACAAATGCAGACACTCATGTAAATATGGCTGCTAAACAGTGTTTTTCTCCCAGCACAGCTCTTCATGAATTTCCTTCAGACTAGTGACATGTAATACAATAAAAACTAGGAAAGCCCCAATACAAATCAATCAGGAACAAATAGGATTATAATGTAAGAAAGATCAGCCCATGGAAAAATGAATAAAATAAAACCAAATGACTCAGGGGTTTTCCTTCTGAACACTAAGGCTATTCAAAAATTGAATAATTTCAAACAAAATATAATGATCCTATTCTTCTACTTCTACTTTCCTCCAGTATATTCACAGTAAGCGATCATTTTTATTGGTATTTGAATAAAATTTTCATTGTGTTCCTACTGATAATCTTGACTCCAGGGCCAAAATATAGCATGTACTTACTATTAAATAAAGCAGAATAACTCTATATGCTATCATGACAAGTAGTTCTTAGCAGATTTGGATGAAATGAACAGAAACTGAGCTGGGATCGTATCTGTGTTTCAGTGCTTATTCCCTGATGATAAAGTCACAGACACCAAAATCAGCCTACTTATAGTGGGGATTTTTTTTTTTTTTTTTTTGCTTTAGCAGTAATCAATTTTGAAGAAATTTTTACCTGTATTGTTATCATAGAATTTGATGTGCCTGTCTTCATGAGCAGTGATGCTGATGGGAAGAGTGGGATGACTGATGACTCTATTTATTTGGCAGGAAGAGCTCGCTGCTTAAAAATAAAAAAGTAAAGACAATATAAATTAGTCAGAGCTACTATTTCTTCACACAAAACAGAACTGAATACCCACCTAAGAGACTGAAAAAGTAAATGATGTGACTTTAATTTGTTTTTAGTTCAAATTAAAATTTGAACTAAAATTTATTTTATTCTGCAATTATGTTCATAACTTCAACGTTAGGAAATGAGAACTGCCTAAGCAATACTATACTGACAAATCTAGAAGTATCTAAGAAGTAGAATTTCCTTTCCCACCACCTGCTATCTCTATGGGTGCCACTCAGCCACTGATACATCTCTTTCTATAATGTTATAGGATATTTCTGCTATTTTTAAAAGTTCCATCCTTACTTACATGCCCATAATTCTCAAACTTAAATCTCAACTATTTCTAGATGCAGAGCTCTTTTATTACAAGGTTATCATCTAAAGATATACATGACAAACAGAGATTCTAACACTTTAACTTTCTCTTTTCATCATAACAGAAATAATCATCATTTGAAAATCTAACATGTCTGGAATCTTAAAATAATCAACATCCCAAAAGTACTTGTGCACTACTTAATTGTTTTTGAAGAGACTTCACTTATATGCACAATGGGACAGGCGGGCCACCTGTCATTAAACCCATATCACAGTGAATGAACCAAGGTCCAAAAAAGGCTGTGACTCCCCCAAGGTCATGTTGCAACCGCCTTTAACTATTCTAATTTCTACATCTATCTCAACCAGACAGCTCATGCAATCAGACAACTGCTAAAACCGATACCTATACTATCACAAGTTCTTCCTACATGCCTTTTAAAAGAAAATCAGTAAGAAGTTAAGTTTAATTAATAATTTCTGTTAAGATACTTTTTATAAGGAAAAATCTACATAATGGTAACACTAATTTAAACATATCAGAATTTTTAAAAAAATTCTATATTATGGTCCAGGGAGAGGACGGGATGTCCTTACAAAGTACATTCCTGGGACAACTGGCAAAGTTGAATGTAAATAATAGACAACAGCATTGTGTCAGTGTTACATTTCCTGATTTTGGCAATGTAATGTGCTATGTCAGAGAATGTCCTTGTTCTTAGGAATTACATGCTAAAGCAAGGGTCCCCAACCCTCAGAATGCAGACCATAAAGGGTCTGTGGCCTGTTAGGAAGTGGGCCGCACAGCAGAAAGTGAGCAACAGGTGAGCGACTGAAGCTTCACTTGTATTACGGCCTGAGCTCTGTGCCTCCTGTCTCTGTTCCTCCGTCCTGTCTGCGGAAAAAACTGACTTCCACAAAACCAGTCCCTGGTGCCAAAAACATTGGGAGCTACTGTGCTCAAAGATCTAGGAGTATAGGAGTACAATGTTTCTTAGTAGTTCAGAATTTTAAGTACATATATGGAGAGTAATAAAGTAAATGTGACAAAATGTAGGAAACAAAAATTGATGAATCTGGGTGAAAAGTAGCCAAAAGTTCTTATACTATTTTTGAAACTTTTCTGTAAATTTAAAATGATTACAAAATAATGAATTTGAAAACAATTTTTAATCACAGAATAGGTATCATGAATTTATATTCACATAATAGAAAACGTAGCTAAATATAGCTTAAAAAAAAATAGTGGTAATATTAGTCTTCCCTATTGGATTTTCCTGCAGTTCCTAGAAATATGACACCTTTAAAACTAAAGATTTTTTCCCCCGCTGCTAATAGCAGGTAGCCATCAAAACTGTTTCCTAAATACACAATAAAAAGTCACTTGATCATGTGGAGTAAGCTTTGGGTCAGTTATATTCAATTTCAATGGTTCTTTTCAAAGAGTTTAGTTTCAAATTTTAGCCTATGGATTTTTTTTTTTCCTTCCAGAGATAACACACCATTGAGTAATATCCTCTTAGGATCTGGCAGGAGAATAATGACAAAAAAAAGAAATACTTTAAGTAAAATATTCAATATATCCTGAGAGAGAAGTTTCTGTGAATAGCTTCAATTACTTTGAAATCTAGGAAATAAGTAGATAGAAATCAAATGATGGAAGTAAACAAAAGAAAGTTTTTATTAAGCAACTAGTGAGGAAGTTTCTCCACTTGAAAGTAAATCAGACAAGTAAGCAAAATGCAAAGAACACTAAAAATAAATTGAAGGCCCGCCAGCCATCATTCTAACAATGAATTAAGATAATCTTCCATTATATTTAAATTGCAACTTATAAATGGTTTACCTTTTCACTGTGTTCACAAGCACCCAATTACCTGCTTCAATTACTTGTGACTTTATCATAGTCCAATAGCCATTGACATCAATGAGAAAGAAGACAATTTAATCTGATTCTAACAACAAAAATCCTTCATCATTTTAAGCTCTATATGAAATTCACTTTCACTTTGAAAAATGTTTGGTCTGAACTTTAATTAAAAAAAAAATCTGCTAAATTCCAAAATAGAACAACACAGTCAAATATAAATAGCTAAGGGGTAGTCACAGTAGGAAGAAATAAAAGACTAAATTAAGTTTGTTTTACACAACTGTGAAGTATTCAAACTGATAACTTAGGAAATGGCAGGACTTATTTAACTCAAAATTATTATCACTTATTCCAATACTGCCTTTGTTCAAAACATTCTGGGCAGTTTTCTTCAGCAAATGCTTCCAGGATCAGGCAAAAAGTCATATGATGTTATAGTCATGTCTTAGAGAAAAAAATAGGATCTCATTCACCATAATTGACTTCTGATTAATTTGTAGCAGTCATTAAAAATCAACATTTACCCTTCAAGATGGTCAAAGAATTAACTACAAACTCTAAAGGTAATTCTAAAAATGTTCACAACCTTATTAATTTCACATTGGGTTTTACTTTACTACTGTCACTTTAGTTCATATATTTAAATATGACTTTAAATTTACTGAGAGTCTAAAACCTACATTTCTTGGCAAAAAAATTCTATTTTTGCTATTCCATAATCTCAATTTTTATTATTTGGTCTCTTTTACATCCAAATACAATAGTTCCAAGCTCTTTTCATGCCTTCTTCCTCAAACAATTCTCACAGGACACCAAAAGAAAACGAAGGACAATGTATTAGGAAGAGAAAATAAAACCAAAATGGAATGCAGGAAATCTGGGGGAGAAAAAAGGAGAGGGAACGCACGCACACACACACATGCATTTACACACACCATAATTATTTTTAAAGCTAGCTCTCAAATTGAAACAATATTTAATGCATATAAAAGCTTTCTTTATCAACTGCAACCTAAACTGTGATTGTTTGAATTAAGCCTAGAGAGAAAGTAAAGATTAAAAAAGTCCCAAACAAAATAATTCTGTAATATCTTCTTCACAATCTGAAAAATTATTTCCTGATTTCATATATCCAAAAAGAAGCTTCAGACTTGGGATTTTGAGAGGTACAACTTGGCCTGTATTCTAATAAGTAATGAACTTTGCCAAAATATATTAATAGTATAGAAGTTGATTTAAAAAATCATATTATGAGAAATGAAAAATATTTTATGTTCAGAACAAATATTTTCTTTAAACAAAATTAAAAGCTTAGTCATTTGGCATAAAATTAACGACTCTTTGGAATAGCTCAAATGCTATTTCAAATAGTATAGTTATAAATGTGCATAAACTAACCCAAACACTTAAAATCAATTGTAAATCATTATAACCTTCTAAGTAACATGTTCTGTGATTTACCAAGCAGAAGACTCTATAACGACAAGTATTTTTCATAGATGACTCTAGTAGTTATAATTTTGATAAAATTTAAAAATTGATCCAAACAGGCTATTTAAAGACTATTATACATACTCGTATCTACATTGGACTCTAAAGTAAGAATGCGTTGTTGCGTTTCCATGTTAAAGATGCTTGTGTATCCTTTGCTGAATGATGCTACCATATGGCTCGGGTCACTGCTCACTAGATCCACAGAGGCAGGGATTCCCAATTCTATAAGGGTATAACATATTCAAAAAGAATAATAATTAGAGGGTCTACTTAACAATGTGTTTAAAATATAGCAAAACAAATAGCAGCATGATTTCCTTAAGGAGTAAATGAGGCTCAACATTAGGATAAGAATTTGCTCACTGCCATTCAATGGAGATTACTTCTTTTTTTTTCTTTTACCCTAGTCTATTTCATTACTCTTACCTGCTCAGCACATCTTCTACCTGTTATTCAGCTAATACATATACGGAATGCAAGCTTTTATTTAAAAAATGGAAAACATGTATGGACTACAAGTTTTGATGCCTCTACCTCAATGTGGGGCTCAGAGTGGCAGCATGGGAATTCTTCATTTTAAAGGCACATCTCTTATTAGGAATTCTAACTTATCAAAACCATGGAATTTAAGAAGTAAATTTCAAATTGTTATTGGTAGTCATGAAAATACCAAAGGCAGGCAATTAGCCCTGGCTGGGCAGCTCAGCTGTTAGAGCATCATCCCAATAAGCCAAGGTTGCAGGTTGAATATCCAGTGAGGGCACATACAAGAATTAACCAATGAATGTAAAATAAGTGGAACAACTTTCTCTCTCTCTGCCCCCTCTTCCTGTTTCTCTAAAATCAATAAATATTTTTTTTTAAATGCAGGTAATTCGTCAAAACCTAGACACAAGTTATCACAGCTCAAGAATAAAAGTATTTTTATTTATCATCTAGAATAGGCAAAAATTGATTAAAAATTGGCAGTTATTAAGATATATTAACAGCCAAAATCACAAAAATAAAGTGCTCAAAAGAATTGGCCACCAAAGAAATGCAAATTAAATCACAATAAAATACTACTACACACCCATCACAATGGCTAAAATTAAATAGACAAAATACCAAACGTTAATAATTAAGGATGTAGAACAACTGGAATTCTCCAGCATTGCTGTCAGTGGTGTAACATGGCAAACCACCCAGGAAAAAGTCTGGCAATATCATGTTAGGTTAAACAGGCAATTCGACTTCTAAAGCCCCGCAATTCTACTTCCAGGTCTTTACCCACCGATAAGAAAAATACATGCATCATCACAGCAGCTTTGTTCAAAATAGTCAAAAACTGGAGACAATCCAAATATCCATTAAGAGGTATATGGATATACACATTGTGATTTAATGAAATAGTATTAAAAAATATAAATAAATTATTGATACTACAACATGGAGGAATCACAAAAAAAAATCACAGTGAGAGTAAAAAGCCAGATACAAAAAGAGTACACATTGTATGATTTCATTCATATGAAGTTTTAGAATAGACAAAACTAATTTATGATGAAAGAAATGAACAGTGGGTACCTCTGGGTGGGAATGAGGAGAGGCATCTGACTGAGAACACAGAGCCACTTCAGGGAGTTAAAAAATGTTCTATATCTTGATCCAGGAGTTATGCATTTGTCAAACTCACTGGAATGTAACCTTATAATTTGTTTTTTACTGGATACAAATTATATCTCAAAAAAAAATTTTAACTGTGCTCTTTCACCCAATACTATGTTTTTAAAATGCATATATGTTGAAAATTTGAATAAACATATTTTCATTACTTCAAAAACCCTTCAAATTAAATTTAAACAGTAAGAGTTTGTGAAATCCTTTATTTATTTGCATGTTTGTTTTTTAAAATAAGACATAATTTAGGATTTTATAAAATAATCAGTAAGATAACGTAAGAAGGCTGTACCTTGATTATCATTGAACACACTCAAGGCCGGCGCCGCCTCAGCTGTGTTCCATAAGCGGAGAGTGCCATCTGCTGAGCAGGACAGCAAACGCTGGTGCGCCGCACTGTAAGCCAGGCCCCAGACTGCATCGGTGTGGCCGAGCAGAGGGCCTCTCAGAACAGAAGGATCTACAGAAACCGACAAGCATGTAACATCAGGCAAAGAAAAACAACTTACAAAGAGAAAGTAAGAGAACCTGGTAACAGTATAAAATATGCCTCCTACTACTTTCTTCCTTCTGAAATTATTCTTTCTGAAATATTGCAATAATTAAAAACAGGCTTGGAATATGCAAGTGTAGTTTAAAATTTATAAATTAAAATTACAAAGTACATATTTTTCTCTTTAAAAAAATTAGGTATTTATGTATGAATGACCCATGGACATGGACAACAGAATGGGAATGGACTGGGGGAGCGGGGGACGGGGTGGGATGAGTGGAGGAGGGCAAAGGCGGAAAAACTGAGACAACTGTAATAGAATAAACATGATTTCGAAATAAAATATATATATAATAAAAATATTAGGTATTTCATTTTCCCTCCCTTTTTTCCTTCCATTTGTCTAGATATATTAAAGACCATGTTAACACAAATAAATCATTTGAATTTAACCTGTTTCGAGAAATCACAACTCATGCTCCCTGAGGGAGTGAACAGAGATCCTTCCCTCCTCTGACCTCCTTGGCACTCTGGATACATTCTTTAAGGCCGCTTGTCCTCTAGTACCATGAACAGCAATTATTCCTGTTGAGGCCTCTGACATAATGAATGTGAACTGAGACCTACAGGAACCCCCAAATTCTCAAACAGCAGTAACTGACATATGAATGATGTGCATGGGAGGAGGGGAGGGAGGAGGAGGGGAGGGAGGGAGGGAGGGAGGGAGGAGGCAGGGGGAGGGTCACCTAGCACTGTTTCATGATAAAAATCAAATTGGAAACTTAAATTATTAATCTTCACAATAATACTATGAAGCAGTACTTTCAAGATGGCTCATAGATGTTAAGTTTAAAATGTAACTACCCTATATCCTCTCTCAGTCATACCTTAAAGGATTTACTGAAGACACACTGTGCCTATGCTGGCACTATGCTGGATGCTGGGGCCACACAGATGATTAAGACACAATACTATCTTTGTCCTCAAAAGACAATGTGGTAAAGCACAATAATAGTGAGAGATACCAGTTACAAGGAGAGTAACAGGGATGAGTAAAAGCTTCTTAGAGAGAATGACACATAGAGTGTACAGATGTTAGGCAAAGAATAGAGGAATGTCATTCCTGGCAAAAAAGGTAGCACCTACAAAATCACAGAAGGAAAAATAGCCTGACATGTGAGGAAAGAAGCAATTCAGTATTACTGGAGGATGAAGTTTGTGGGACGTAGTGGATGTGATGAGAGGGGCTAGTTTATGGTGAGATTTCTATGACATATTAAAGTACTTGGGAATTATCCTGAACGTAGTAGGGAACCACTGGAGGATTTCCCAGGGGCAGCAGGGTGAAATACGTATTTAATAAGGTAACTCTGTAGGGAAAATAGACTAAACAAGACCAAGATGAATGCAAAAGTGCTGTTTCAGTAGACTGAGAGTGATGGTGAAGACCCAAGCAAGGGCAGTAGTAAAAGGGACAGAGCAAGAATAAATTCGAAATACTTAGGAATAACATCAAAAAGACTAAGTAATTAGTAAGGTGCGGATAGTAAAACTGAACAAGGAATCAAGGATACCTCATAGATTTTGAATTTGGGTAATTCTGTAGAAACACAAACTAATAAACACCATATTCTGCCTTGCAGAATGTGCTCCTGTGTATAATGTGTACCTATGTTTCTGGCCCAAACTTTCAGGGGGAAAAAAAATCTTTTGTTTTACTTTTTTAATTCAATTATTTATTTATATTTAGATACTTGTTTTTTTGTATTATAAAGGAATTTTAGCATTTATTTTTGAACATATTATGGTACAAGAAATTTTATGTAGAATAATTACAAAACACAAGAACAGATACAAGGTACTTCAGGTACTACCCATGTACAATGCACATCCTTATTTTTCTCTCAAAAATTTGGGCAAAAAATGTGCATTATATACGGCAAAATACAGAGAAGAAACAGCACTTGAGAGAATTTATGGGCAATGAAGCACCCACTTTAAAATGTTCTACAGGCAGTCTGAGGCTTAAAGAAGAGTCTTATCTGAGTCCACAGCACAGAAGCGGATTCAATCTAACAAAGAATAGACTATGTGGACAATGCAAAGATGGGTTAGGGTCTGGACCTTGATAAATGCCAATATTTAAAATAAGAAAAATAAAAAGAGTTTATGAAGTATAGGGAACAGAAACTGTCACAGAATTACATATCAAAAACACCAATAGTGGACAAATTTCAAAGAGGATGGAGTGATCCCGTTTCAGAGAGCCAATACATCTAATAAAAAGGAGGACTGTAAAATACCCTCTGGATCAGCACTGAAAATCTTGTTATATTTAAAATGTTATGAACCAGAAGATGAAATGCAGAGGGATGGTGGTGCACAGGGAAAGGACAAGGAATCAGTACCTACAATTTGTGTTTTCTAGATAATACCACCAAAGAGATACAGATGGTGAAGGAGAAAGTCTAAACAGAAGCTAGAGAAGGAAATGGAGCCAGAAAAGGCCTCCCCTGGCCCAGGATGGGGGATACCTGAATTTACTTATATGCTGAGGGGTTGGAAGGACGACGTTGAAGGCAAGGCTTAAGATGAGAATGAGAGAGGCTTGGGGTGGGTTTTAGGAGGAGGGTACTATGCAGCCTCAAAGGAAGCAACAGAGAATGGGGTCAACAGCAAAAGCAGAAGGGCTGGCTTGCGACAGAATGAGGACAACTGATCCTCAGATATATAAAGATATTAAGGAAAAGCATGAAACAGATAAATGTGTACGGAAACTGGGGAGAAAATAGGTTCACCTCATAAAACATGCTAAAGGCCTATTAAATAAATGTTGGGAAATTTTTTTATTTATTGAATTTCTTATCTTCATTTAGATTTGGCAGTAAAATTAACCTAAAGTGATAATGAAAATAAAATATGGTTTAATGATAAATATGATACTTTATACCTTTCCAGAATTTAAGAGAAAATCAAAACAGTCAATTCCTAAACCAGTTTTTACAAGGAAATTCATGGTAAAAGCTAGTAATAGATTAAAGTAAGAATTTGTGCCTCATGGTACTGCTCCCAAAGTTAAAGGACACTTCTTAATTTTTTAAGGCCTTTTAAATATTTTGGTGCCATGGACTTGAAGAGTCATTAGCTTCTACTCCCTCCAATAATTGATCAAAAAGATGATGCCAACCTTCATTTTCCTTCAAAGTTGTTCATTAGAACAGTGATAAAATATTATTACTTATTAGTAATAATGTACCAAGTAATGTTCAGGTGCCTAAAATGAGGAAAAGAATTGTTGATAAAGCCAGCATCTCCAATCAATAAGACTTTGGGTGGTGGGAACTGTTTTCTCAGGAAGAACACAATTTTTTTCTTTTAACATTATACATCAAACTGGTTCCTAAATACAGGAGTCCTTTTGAACAACAACCAAAAAGATACATTTCTCTTTTACCAATTTATTTTTTAGAAAAATCTCATTTTATCTTTATGTATGCTATGTTCACTGTGTAAAAAGGAAATTTTTTATCTTTCCTATCTTTGGAGACTCACATACCGTAGGAGTCGTAGGGGTCGATGTTGGGGTTGGTGGTGTTCCAGCCCTGGATCAGCCCGTCAGTCCCGCCGCTGTAGCACTGCTCGCCATTGCTGCTCATTACCACACAGAGCACTGGGCCTCTGGGAGAGAAAATCAATTTCTAGTCTCAAAAATAATCTGACAATAGGACTTATTAAAAATAAGAATATTAATTATTAAAATGGCTTTCTATTTTTCAGCTTTGTACAATGAATAACTATACTACCAAAGCACTGTTCATTTTTCTTCATCTGCTAAACGAAAGGTTGGTGAACTATGGCCTGTGGGCCAAATCCAGCCAGTGGTCTTAGTTTGAACAGTCCTCAAACTGAGAATGGGTTTTACACTTTTTAAAGGGTTATAAAACTAAACTAAACTAAACTAAACTAAAAACAAGAATATACAACAAAATATGTGTCCTGGAAAGCCTAAAAATATTTACTATCTAACCCTTTATATAAAAAATATGTGATTGCTGTGCTACAAAGCAAGTGACTATTTTATATATATATATATATATATATTCCTTAAGCTTAACAGGAAAAGAGAAAAAGCAAGTAATATGCAATCACAATAAAAAATTCTTGGATATTTTATGTAGGTTATCTTTAAGGAAAAGAGGTCAGGACTTCTAATACTTCAATCTAATTGCCTCAACTTTATGAGAGATATAGACATCATTTAAACATCATGCAAATCAAATTTAATTTCAGCAAAAATTTCTATTTGGTAGTAGATAAACTTATTTTCAACAATTATCTGCCAGTTTCTTTTACAATTATAAAAAAGCTACTAAATACAAAAAAAAATTCATACCATGAATACGTAAGTAAGAGATAACAAAATATTCTAATCAGGCTTATTTATAGTGATGCTGATTTTTTTAAAAAGCACGTACTTACTTATGAGCCCTGAATGTATAGATAGGCTCCACATCAAGAGATGTACTCCTAAGTCAGAGAGAAAAGAGGACTTTTATCACTCTAAGTTTCAGCAGTAAACAGTATTACTGAATTACATCATAAATTCTGGATTCAGTTTCCAGTTCTGTTATTAACTAAGTTTAGGTAAATTATTTAATCTTTTGGAATTTTAAATTTCTCTATGTTTAAAATAAAATGGAAAAAAAAGCAGGGGTAACACCAAATATTCACAGGATTAAATGAGATTCTACAAGTACTGGTTTGGCCAAAAAGTCTGGATGGTTTTTTTCCATAAAATAAAAGACACATTTTTCATATTCACCAATAACTTTATTATTTTGGCTATTTTGAGTCTGTCAGCTATCTCCCGCTATTGGCTTCTAGTGGGTAGAGGCCAGAGGTGCTGCTAAACATCTTCCAATGCATAAGACAGATCCATAGCAAAAAAGTATTTGGCCAAACTGTCAGTAGTACCAAGAACTTCGCAAACCACTTTTGACACATTCGGTCAGTCACAGTACCTTCTCCATACACTGCATAAATCCTTTTTTGTGTTTCAGTTGTGTTTTTACCTTTCTTAAAATAATACAGCATAATATGCTGAAAATGTTGCGTACTTTCTTCCATCGTCAATGTTAAAATAACTGCACAAAAATTCACCAATTCAGATTTTTTTTAAAATGCAAGCTGATATGACAGCTGTCACGATACAGTCTAACAAAATTGTTTCTAATAAAGTTAAAGACAACTAAGCACTACTAGAGCCATCACACAAAAAAACATAATGGACTTTTTGGCCAACTCAATGAAACAGCCTAGTGCACATAGAATTTCAATAAATGGTACTTTAATTCCTGGCATTTCCATGAAGGTTAATATATCTGCCCTTGATACTTGCAGAAACTGTCCCAGTCATCAGTTCATTCGGTATTCAGAATACTGAGTGTATGAGTACTCTATAGCACCTAAACTGGCCATGATTGTTAATGGAAACTGGATTTAAAGTCAAATACTTACCATTTTCTACATTGTATTGCAATTATTTTTATAGGCATATGATCTCTCTCAAATCATTTCCAAAGTTTTAAGTTCAAAGGTAAACAGGCCACTGTTATTTACATGTGAAGATATTACTAAGCTACCACCAGCAAGAAACTTGTTTCAATATTTTTCCAAAATTCTGTCAAGACTGTATGGTGAGACATTCACATAATCTCTAGTCTAATGTGATGCCCATTGTGACCAAAGAGCTAGAAAGACAAAAAGCACAACTGATGACCAGGAAGTAATTTTTCTCTGCTGAAGATATCTGATCCAAATGAGGATTCACTTAGTTTTAAGCAAGATCTAGTCTATGTATGACTCATAACAGGAATGTCACTAATCCTTTTATTACTGGTCCTCTACCAGTAATAAAACTTCTGTAATCTCCTCCATTTGAAATTCATTTCTAGTCTTCGAATAGCAGAAATGTCTGACACTATAGAAGGGTCGTGCCAGCAGGTGCTGGGTTCTGGACCATGTGACCCAAAGAAGAAAGGAGAGGAGCTCTAATAAGGACCCCATCAAGCAGGATCAGGACTACCTTGGTGACTGGTAAAAGGGTTTACAGCAACCCATGTCTGTCCGTGCCTAGAGAGAAACCAAGGGGCCAAAGCCAAGACTAGCAGTTAAATGACGGCAACAACAGTGCCTTTCAGTCTAGACATATTGGTGGGTATGGGAAGTACCAAAAGACCAAAGAGAGGTCTCTCACCCCTCCCAGTCTTCCCTCCCTTCCACTTCATAAGTCCAAAGCTTGTAAACAACAGGACAGGGGTAGGGTGGGAGGCTGATGATTAAACATGCCAATCTCTGTTTATAGCAACAATAGAAATTTTCAGTACATTCAAAGGGCTCCCTAAATATCACAAACATTTAAAACACTGTATAAGGATTGTAATTAGGATTCAAAAATCCTCGAAAACTATCAGATAATACCATTTCTCCCTAAGTGTTAGGTTTCCAACCTAATATTACATTGTAAGTATGAAGGGAAACACTCTAAATTATATGATATGGTGGGAAAAAAAATGAGAAGAGATATACAGGGAATTTAACAGTAAATAATAAAATAAGTATTTTTCTGCTGAAAATCTGTTAAAATATTCAAATAAAGTTAAACATTCTCACTTTTTGGCTGGGGCTGTTTTCTGTAAATTCCACATTTTTAATGTGTGATCCTCTGATGCTGTTATCAAAACAGGCTCAATGGGGTGGAAAGCAAGGGCTCGAATGCCATCAAAGTGACTTCTTAACGTAAACTTAGGGTTCCACGTCTTCCTCAATGCATCTTTATTGTTTGCTATCTGTTAAAGAGACAAAAAGAATACCTATACATTTAGTTCAGGATCGGGAATATAACTACATTTCAACATTAATTCTTGTTGATTTGTCATTAAACCATCACATTTTGCAACTTTCAAAACACTGTAATTTTTAAATGTTAATAACTAAACCAGAGGCAAAATTAGCAATATATCAACAGTGGTATTCTTTGAAGAAATATGAATCCTATAATAAGAAAACAGGAAACAATTCAGTACAGAAATATGATCAGATAATAAAATAAATCTTCACAAGGGTGATTAAAGAAGACATAATTTCAACTTAAATTATAATGCAGAAACTAATTTTGGTAAGAGTTGAAAAACTAAGTTATCTTTAAATATGTTAACATTATAGAATATTATTGTACTTTTGAGATTTTCAATACTTTCTAACAAATTTTTCATCAAATTGGCAACAAAGTTTATAAACTAGAAACATAAAATATTAAAATTAGAAGAAACAATTAGATGTTCTAAAAAATAATTACATTGGTAAAACACACACATCATTATGTTGCTTTTCCCCACAGAAACTCCGTCTTAAAAAAAAAAAAAGCAAAATTTTTTCATTCCAAGCAACAGGACAGCTAACAAGGCTGGTGTGTGACTTTACACCAGCACCATGTATGAACTCTTCACACTCCAAGGCTAATAATCATGCTAGGATTAAGCAAGAGTGAGGTAAGTACTGGAGAAACAGTACCAATGACAAAATCCAACAAGATACTAACAACATCTGCTATTTTGAGCATTATTTATTATTTCGAATATTATTCAAAAGACTTAATATGTACTAGCTCAATCCTCACAAACTCTATGAGGTTGGAATTAACATTATCCCCACTTTACAGACTAAATATGTAAGAAAAAGAGAAATTAAGTGACTTGCTCTCTAATAAAAAGTCAGGCTTTTAAACCCAAACAGACTGGCTTCAGAGGCTACACTCTTAGTATAAACTATAATTGATAACTCAGAAGTTTAAAAACCTGGAGGAAAATTTGGGTAGGATGTCATAATTGGGGCAGTAACAGAAGACAAAACATACTATGTAATATGTAATACGTTAAGAATTTGTGCCAGTTATCCTTGGGGGGTGGGGAAAAGTGGGGAAAAACTGAGTTGACTTCTATCTGCCGTTGGCTGAAAGGTGTTCATATGTATGAGCAAACACAGCCCTTCTGAATGTCTTCATAAGGCAGGCAGCCACTAACATGGTCCCTCACCAACCCCAGCTCCTCATATATCTGTGTCTTGTATAGTCCCCTTCCACATTACAGGGCTGCTCTGTGTGACTAACAGCATACAGCGGAGTGGCAACAAATTACTTTCAAAATTAGGTTAAAAAACCTTCCATTACGGGTGTTCTTAGTATCTCTTTTCAAGCACAGTCACACTGGGAGAAGCCGGATGCCCTGCTGTGAAGTCCATAGACAGGCCCATGTGGTGAGGAACTAGTCTCCAGCCAATAGCCAGCAAAGAACATGAGTGAATTTGGAAGCAGATCTTCCCCAAGTCAAGATTTCATGTCAGACTGCAGCCCTTGACAATGTCTTGACTGCATCTATCTGAGTTACCAGAGGCACACAGCTCAGCTACCCCCAGATTCCTGATCCAGAGAAACTATGAAATAATAAATACGTGTTTTAAGCTCTAAATTTGGAGCAATTTGTTACAGAGCAACAGATTACTAATCTGCTTAATAAAACTATGAACTACTTTTAGAAACAGAGGGATATACATAACACTAAGTTTTCTAATAATTAAAAACTATGAAAAATGTCCTCTAGAGATAGGACCAAGTTTCACTACATATTGAACAAATTCTTTGTGGGGTTAGTATTGAGGGAACATCTGCCTTTAGCCATGATGAACTAGATCATTAGGACCACCTCTGTACTATGCACAAGTAGAAAAGCAGATATAAAAATAAAAAATTGGCCCTGGCTAGCATGGCTCAGAGGACTGAGGTCTGGCCTGCAAACCAAAGGGTCACAGGTTTGATTCTCAGTCAGGGCACATGCCTGGGTTGCAGGCCAGGTCCCCAGTAGGGGGCAAACAAGAGGCAACCACACATTGAGGTTTCTCTCCCTATCTTTCTCTTTCCCTTCCCCTCTTTCTAAAAATAAAGAAATAAAATCTTAAAAAAAAAGAAAAATTGGAGAACCAACAAAATGGTGAGGAATAACTGGGTCTGGATCCAGAGGAAGAAAGAGGCCTAAGAAGGAGAACCTGATATTTGGAATTTTTCCCCCAACAGTGTTTACTGATTCCAGGAGGAAGGCTGAGAGGCAGAGCTGTGCTCTTGACAGCTCGGCAGTGCAGGGCTGTAAAAACTGGTGTCCAGGGACTATCCAAAAAATGGGGCTTGGTGAACTACATTTCTTTGGGTTTTGATTTCAAAGGGCTGCATCCTAGACATGAGTGTGAACTGGAAGAACGAGCCCTTGTGGGATTATAGATTAGCTTTAGATCATCCCAAAAACTGAAAATGGAATGAGGTGGTAAAAGATTTCTAGTGGCTGCAGACAACTGACAAAAGCAAATTAAAATATACTCTCTCGGGGAAGATACCTTCTTAGGCCTAAAGTTCGTCTACAATTTTTCAAATATAATTATTTGGGCATAAAATATGTGCTCATACAAGATAATACAACATAAATGAAAACAAGCAGAAATAACAAATAATAATAACAGAACTACAGAGTTTTTCATTCAAATTTTAAAATAATCATGCTTACTATATTCAAGAAGATATTAGACAAATATAACCAGAGACACAGAAATAAAGAACAAACTGACAGTAACCAGAGGGAAGGGAGGAAGGGGATAATAGGACAAAGAAGGGGAAGAGTCATCAAGGAACATGAATAAAGGACCCACGAACAAAGACAATGGTGGGGTGGGGTGGTAGGATTGAATGTGGGAGGTGGGGGTGGGTAGGGGGAAAAGTAATTGGGGGGAAATGGGGACAACTGTAATCAAACAAGAAATCTGTAAACAATGAAGAATTCTAGAAGCAAAACATATAGAACATCAATAGATTAGTTTAGTTACAAATTACTTGAAACTGAAGAGAGAAGTAGTGAACTGAAAGTCACTAAAAAAACTAGATTGAAGATAAAAAATACTGAAAAAGGGAAGAGGAGACAGAAGATGCATAAAGATCTAACACTATAACTAGAGTTCTAAAGGAGAAGAGAAAGTGTGGGAGAGAGGGATGCAAAAGGAGCACTTGAAGATAAATGGCTGACAACTTTACAGAGCTGATGAAAACATATTACTAAGACAATCTAAGAAGGTTAATAAGAAAATTAATCCTTGACTGACAATCATGACATAGAAAAATATCAGAGGGGGAAAAAATCAGACTACTGTTGAAAGAACAATGAAATAATATATAAAGTGCTTAAAAAAAAAAAGAAAACTTGCCAACTGGGATTCGATACCAGAGATAAGTTAACCCACTGGGTGAAATAAAGAAAATTTAAGAAAACGAGGAACAGAGAATTGGGCACCAGTAGATAGATCTTCACTGAAGAGAGAAATATTGAGTGCTCTCAGAGTAAAAGGAGAGCGATCCTAGATGGACAGTCAGACACGCAGGGGAGAATGGAAAAAAGCAAAATGGGTAATGTAAATGGACAATCCCAACTGAATATCGAGTCTACAAAACAGTATCTTGTTGAAGATAAATGTACAGAGAAACAAAATATATAACAAGAATGACATATACATAGCACAGGAACATTTAATATAGTTAGAAGTGTTCAAAGGGTATATGCATGTAAAATTTTGATAAGGATGTGTGTTGTAACCTCTAAGGTAATGATTAAAAGAGTAATGAGAAGGTATATAAACTCCAAATAATGGGGGAAAAGGGGAAAGGGAAAATAATAAAAAATAACGAATCCCAATATAGGCAAAAATAGGAGAAAAAGAAACACAAAACAGGTGGAACAAATAGATGGCACAAATAGATGGCACGCTTAAATCCAAAGCTATCGGTCATTACTTTAAAAAGAAATGAACTAAATGCTCCAACTTAAAAGTTTGTCAAATGTTAGATTACCAAAAAAAAGTCAACTAAATGGTGTTTTAAAGAGACATATATAAAATATAATACAAAAATGTTGGGGAAAAGTCTGTATCACAATGGGAAAAATGGAGTACAAGGAATCTGTTTTGATTAGGTTACTACAGTAGTTTAAGGTGAAGAAAAAACGGACTAGGCTGGCAGGTAAAAAGCATATGGATTTCTTCTGTTTTTGGAGGTAAAAACCAAAACACCTGCTAGTGGACTTAGCACAGAGAGTGAGAGCTTTGGGTCTGCAGGGAGAGGAGTGAGTGGCAAGGGCTCCTCCGTGGAGTACTTTCTTACTGAGCCCATGGTCTGCTTAGGCATCTGGCTGATACGCCCCACGCAGCAGGAGCTACACTGTGTTCTCCAACAAAGATAATGAAGTAGCAAAGTGAGAGGATATTAATGAAGATATAAAATAAGTCACAAATAGTTTATGAAATAAACAGCTGTTTTCTGATATTTATTATGAAGAACAATTATAAATGCATTTATTAAAAAAATGTGCTTGGGATTCATAAAGGTATAAAGATTTCCATTTTATCCATATCACTGATGGGTGAGCCTTAATACCTGCAAAGAACCCTGTACACATCCCTGCACACATCCCTGCCTAATAACAGCTAAAATCCTTCTCGCTAGGATACTGATAAACTACAGGAGCAAGGCAAGTGATACTGTTAGGCAGGCATGAATCTCAATTAATCACTGATGCCCGAAAACATAAAACAAAACCCAAATTTAGTAATGGGAAAGGGAATTCCTTCTTTTATCTAAAACCAATAAACAAACTATACTAACTTACAGATTTAGGTAAAGCCCATAATTTTAATCTCTATATGATGTGGAAAACAGTTTATAATATATACATGTTTTCAAAGTTTGTAGTTAAAAATGAACGAAATTCTATACCTTTGCTTCTTCATTGCCATCTTTTTCTATAAACTTAACTTTTCACTTTCAAAAATGAGTAAAAACAACAAAAATAAAACTACCCCTTACATCGTAAGTTAGTGTATCTGCTTCATTGGCGACTGTAAGGCCTGCCAACTCTCCAAGTCCCAGTTCACTTTCAAGGGCTTCATCTGCTCCCATGATGAATGACTTCCCAGAGGAAGGGGGGAATGTCAGCGCTTCCACTGATAGAAGACAAAAGAAACATAAAAACATTTCTAAAGAGTCAACAACTGGTCTCACAGGGGCATGTCTGATTATTTTTAAATGCTTTTACACAAAATTTGATTACTTTTAAATGCTTTTAAACACAATAAAATGCAGTGAGCAGAAAACCCTGAAGAATTGGTTACTTTTTTCATATACAACCACAGCTAAAAGTATCATCTAATTATTGTAGAAAAATAAAATATGAAACAAACCCTATAGTTATTGTTCTTTCTTTTTGACCACACAAAAAAAGTGTCTACAGGAGAGTCAATTTTCCTCATTTGATAGTTCATGCTAATTGCCAAATTACTTCTATCAATTATTGAACATACGTACGTAACAAGTGATTCTGGACATTGCTGGTCTGATTCAAATAAAATTGTTAACAATCTGGAGGAATATAGAAAATTTCAAATGAAAATGGTTACAATCGTAAAATGTGCCTATGAGGCAAAACTAGCATGTGATGACAGCAATCAGGATTACCTCTGCAGAGGAGCGCGGCGCAGTGACTGGGGACAGCACCAGCAGGGACCCTAGAGCCCTGGCCATGTTCTGCTCTGCTCCTTGACTTGGAGGCAGTGGTGACATGGTTGGGCTCACTTTGTAAAAATTCACTGAGCTACCACTTGTGACTTGAGCAGTTTTCTGTAGGTATTGTTACATTTCATTTATTTCAAACAAAAAAATTTAGTTTCCAACTGCGTTTCAAGATGTCAGATTTATATTGTGATAAACATTAAGTATCCTTATTTTTTAACAATGGACGTACCAACCTAATCCCTTCAGTCACTATCAAAGAACCAGTTAAAAGTAAAATGCCACTTTTATTATATAAAATATAGATTTTCCTTAATTTGGTCAATAATAAAGTGTCACTGTGTCAATGCAAATTATTCTGACAAACTGTCAGAGATGGTCTTCTAGTAGTTTTCTGTAAGTGGTTACTTTACTGAGGACAAATATTTATGAGTTGATTAGATGAATTTAGCAGCTCAAACTTTGGGTGTTAAAGAAGTAAACTAACTTTTTCTTAAAAGAAACAAATCAATTTATTAATTAGTCTGTGTAGAAACTCTACTTAAAATCCTTGTAAGAACAGAGGAAAATACAAATTAAGACATTTTCAAACCACCATACAATAAAGCAGAAATAATTTTAAATAATGGGTTTTACTAAAACATACCATATATCCTCCAGGGAAATGCAAAGAACTCTATAAACATTTACTACTGATGAGGGGACTGTTTAAATTAGAAAATCAATCTTCATTCAACTAAATGATTCATGCATCACAAGGGGAGTAGGTCTTCAGCCCAGTGTTTTGTTTGTTTTGTTTTCACTTCTAATATTTTCAGATAACTTTATTTAGGAGTTACACAAATATTACCCTTGAACTAAAGACCAAGAGTTGTGGAATCTTGACCATACATATTGTTTGGACTAATTTAGCTAATGCTCTAGAAATGGCCAAGTAAAATCTGAAAACATGTACCAGTGGCTAAACCAGCAGACTTGAGGGCTGAAGAGAGAAAGTAACAGTAAGTACCACTTTATTTCACTGCTAAGATTCCCCAGAACTTAAGACTATAGTGCCTCTCAAGTGTGGCACTGCTTCCTAAATTAATACAATAAAGTAATAAATGTATATAGCACACACAAGTGATGGGAGCTTTATGTGGAACTCCAGAGACAGAATTTAGAGTTGTTTTTTTAAGTTTATACACCCCTTTTCAAGTCTGAAAGATTGAAGTTGGAGTTAAACCACACTGAATGTAAGAAAATCTACATGTGGGGAATATTTAGATCAAAAATTGGTAGAATACAATTCCTCTTTTAGGGAGTCCTTTCTAATAAGAAGTTAGATATGTATATCCAAATGCTTTTTTTGTGCTCCAGAGTGTCTTTACTACTCACCTTCATCTGCCCTATTTATTTCGTGTTCAGGAAGCCTGGAGCTGCTAGGTCTGGAAGGTGAACCCACAGAAGGCTGCAACGAGGGAAGTTCGTCAACATCTCTCAAATTAGCAAGCATGTCTTGTAGTTTTGATCTATTGGGCCCTAGCCCAAAAAAGGGAGGGAGAAAACAAAAGAGAAGAAATAGAATTATCCAACGGCATTAAAATGGTGCCATAAACTTTATTCACAAGTCCAACATTCACCTTTAAAGCTACCCTGCTATATTAAAAAGTAATCATTTTCCAAGTTTTCAAATTATTTTAAAAGTTTATGATTTCTTGAAAAGACTTATATTTTACATATACTTTAAAAATTAAGAGAATAACATCACTATCTATATTGAAAAAATGCCCGTATGCAATTTAGACCATTAAAAACAGTATCCTACAATCCTTGCATATTACTCTAAATTCAGAAAGACACCACAGACAGTGAAACTACTGCTGGGTACTGAATAAACAACATCAGTTTTTGTTTGTTTAAAGTAAGGTGCATTCACTGCCTTACATCCTGAAGCTATGATACCGAAGGTGAAGTCTCATGCCCTGCTGATTACTTACCAGAAATTTGATTCTTCATTCTCTCACATCCCTGTTTTGACTGTTTTATATAGGATAGAGGCTGAAACAGATCTTCGGTAGTTTTTCCTGTTATAAGTTTAATTAAGAATGGGAAATCTTACCCATAGTCTGTCACGGTTTTTTTCCTATACCAAAGCAATTTTAATTAATACCTAAAAATATATTTCAAGACAGTATGACTGAAGTACACAATTTGACTGGATATATTTCTACTAGAATATATTGAAAGAATTCAAACTTTTCCAATTAGTAAACAGTGAAATTAATGAAATATTTATGGTGGATTATAAATTAATGCTTCACTTGTTAATTCAAAACTGCTTGAGTTCTGCTTTTATCATTTTGACTTGTTCCTACACTACCATATATACAGTAACATAACCGACAATGAAAATGGAATGTGCTGAACCTTGATCTATAGTCTATCTTCAGTAAAAGGCAATAAAATATTTCCCCATACAAGGGGGGACCCAAGAAAACCCTGGAATTTATTTATAAAAAATTGTGTATTTTTTCTTACATGTTTAAACTTCAGTCACCTTCAAAATACTCTCCATTTGATGCAATACACACCCACTGAGAGGTTTTTTCCCAAGGCTCAAAACAGTTTTTAACCTCGTCAATTTTGAGGCCTTTTAGTGCTCCTGTGGTTTTTTTGTTTCACCTCATCCACATGGGCAAAACATTTCCCCAAAAAGTTTGAGGACTTTTTTCATCAGGGGAAACAAAAAAGGTCACTCGGCCTAAGATTGGGTGAATAGGGAGGGTGGAACTTTAGGGGGTCATGACATTTTTGGTCAAAAACTGCCGAACGCTCAGCACAGTGTGGGCAGGGGCGTTCGTAAGCCACTCAACATGAAATGGGCAAATAAACTGAAAGACCCTTCAAAAAAAATTCACTGATTCCGAATGCAGCCTCTCACAACAATGCCAGCTGGTAACTTTATACAGATGGGTTCCTTGAACATTCATCTAGCAGGGGAAAGCCTGTAGTACAAGGGACCCATCCTCCAGAAGATAATTCCAGATTGTTTTGGGTCCCCCCACTCATAGAGTCATTTTTCTTCATCATGCTAAAAAACTTTGTGCTTTATGTATGAATATTGATAATCTCTGGATTCAGGAAATCTAATAATGTCTATTAATAGGAATACTGTTCCAGTCAAATGGTGCAGTTTTAGACCTAAGTGCTAAATTTCAACTACAGTGATGCCTTGGTATTATTTGGTAAGAACTGAATAATCAATAAAATTGTAGATGGATTCTACATAAGTCCTATACCATTCTAATCTAAAGATCTTTCATATTTTAAGACATTCATTATTATAGCATAATTACTTAAAGAAATATATCAACTTTAAGTCAGTCTAAAAATTAAAATATTCTCCTTGTTTCTCATGTATGATATACAAATTTCCCACAAAATTTCAGTGTAACTGGCTTTGTCATGATTCTGGAAAGCCATAACAAATCATGACTCACTATTGTTTGTTGAGATTTTTATCAGTTTATTTGGATAGAAGGTACAAAATATTCTTACATTTTAATATTTATATTGATTTAACTTATATTGAGAAGACATCAAATGACATCATCTCTCAGTTATGCAACGGCTGGTACAAATATCAATGATGGCCAGTGACTTTTAACCTTTCAAGACAAATACTTGTAAATTCTAAAATATTTTAAAGATTTAAATGCTTTCCAGTAACTACCAGGTTGTAAAAGAATATTCTAACAGGAATGATTGATCTTTGATAAGCTTTAGCATCACTATAAAAAGAAAAAATATATCCTTCCAGCCTTTTGCAACTTTTAAATACATGTTTTACTAAACTGGATTTTAATCTCACTTTACACTGCTTTAATATCCCAACAGATGAAATTCCTGTCACCATAAAAAAAACAACTCACATTCATAGTGTCAGTGAGTGGAAGCACAAGGAGACAGTTTAAACTTGCTGTCATAAAAAGGTGTTTAAGGTTTTCAGGGATGTTTGAAAGCTTTTGTATTTCCATTTTACATGCTGAACTACATCCATTGCTAAACTTTATTAATAATTTTAATGAATTATATGATTCACAGGGCTAGAAATTTAATTTTAGCTTCTGTTTTTTGATGTGGCACACATTTTATTGAAAAAAGAAAAGCTCATTGATAATATTATTAATGAAACTGGCCAAAAGTTTTAAATTAGAAAATAAGTTCTTCTAGAAATTGTATATTTGTGCCCTGTATAGCATATAGTGGTGAAAGCACATGAACTGTGTGTTATGAACACACAAAATGTTCAGGGGTAGAAATTAACTTTCTTTCCGTCTCCAAATTCTAAAATTTATAAGCAATAATTTTGGGGGATTGCGAGAATGTCATACTAAATGAGATTTAAAATTGTCTAAAATTGTCAACAGTGAAAAATTATTATTGTAATTAAGCACATATACTTTTTAAAAAATCAAATTATCACTATGTTTGAATACATAGTCCCATACTCTCATGAGGCTCTGGATTCATTACTGGAATACATTATGATTCTATAATCATATGCATAGCTTTGTTTTGTTTTTTTCAGTTCATAATTAAATAGCTAACCATTTAATTTCAACCCCTGAGAGCAGGTGAAAAAGAAAGAGGTCAGGAGTAGAAAGAAAAAGAGTAAGTAGTTTTAGGAAAACATTGAAAAAAATTGGGGGATATGAAAGAGGCAAGATTTATGAATTATAGATACAATGTTTTCCACTTACTCTTCACCCCCTTTTTCCCCTTTCTCTCCTTTTTGTATTGTTCCTTGAGTTTGGTAATTACTCCCTGGTCCACATTCCAAGCTTCAGGCATGAGACACTGGTCTTCCTTTTCTAAACGGAGTAAAACAAATGAAACAGCCTTTTTCAATAAAATACTGAACACTGTAAGTCGATTCACTGTTATGCCAATAAATGACACAATGACCATTTTCCCCTTAATAACATTAATTTTAAAAAGACATTAGATATGTCACACAAAATACAGTATCCAAGAAAGAATGAGCAATTCTATTTCCTAGGTAGTAGTAAATTTCTCTTGAAAGAGATAGGAAAAAAAACCCCAAAAGATATGACTGACTTTTAGTAAATTAAGCCCAAAAAATCCATAATCAGGAACCCCTCATTTTTATCCCATTTTCTGAATTTGATTGGGATGGAATCACAAAATTCTAAATTAATTTACATAATCAGAGATTATTACTAAGAGCTTATACAAAAGTCTTCCATAATCTTTTCATCTCAAAAATTTTATTTTTTTGGCATGTGTTCATTAACAAATGATTGTTTTTATTTTACAGGACTCAAGAACACTTGAAAACTTCACAATCAACCTGCATTCAAAATTTAAAACAATTTACATGACTTGTTAGTTTACAAATTCTTTAAACAGAAAACAGAGCTTCTAGTAGAAAAATTCTAATCACTAATTTTTACTATTTCAGATGAAAATATAAATGTTATATATTTATACTTATTATAAAATAATTTATATACTCTATAATGTTAATATGTTGGTTCAGAACTCTCCCTTGAATGCAAGACTCATCTATCCATCCAACTGCTCATTCTACATTTCCATTAGGAAGTCTAAATAATATCTCAAACTAAACATAGAAAACCAAATTCCCAATCTCCCCCATCGAATCTGTTCCATCCACGGGATTCTCCATTTTAACTGATGGCAATTCCATACTTCAATTTGCTCAGACCAAAACCCTCCCTTTCTTTCACCCAGCATCAACTATTTCAGTAAATACTGTTTTCCCTACCTTCAAAACACATCTAGAATTTGACTAATCTTCAGCATATCTACTACTTCTCTAACCACTCTCTCTCTCGCTAGAATTACTGCATTAGTTGTCCTCTCTCCCCATCAAGTCTATTATCAACATTGGTTGCCCTAGGTTCTCAACACAGCAGCCAGAGTAATGCTTTAAAAAGAGTCAAATCCTTCCATCCCTGTGCTCAAATCCCTCCCATGGTTCCCCATCTCACCAGTGGTCTCTGTATAACCCTACATGATTTGGTCACTTCTTACTATATTACTATATTCCCCGTACTCTGCTCCAGCCACTCTAGTTTCCATGAATTCCTCAGTCTTACCAGGGCTGCTGCTCTCTTATGGCATTTGCTCTGGTTTTCTTCTTCCTGAACACTTTCCCCAGACACCATATGCCTAACTCTCTTATCAACTTGAAGTTTTTGCTCCAATGTTGTCTACCCTCTCTTGGCGCTTACCATGATCACCTTATTTTAAATTGTGACCTGTCTCCTCCACCCCACATTGACATCAGCACTCTTTATCCCCCTTATTCTGTTCTTCTTTTTCTATTTTCCATAGCACTTATCACCTTCTGACATACTATACCATGTATCATGCTTATTACTTATTGCCTATATGCTCTTAGTAGACTACAGGGACAACAGGGATAGGGATCCTCACCTAGAAGACTGGCAAACGGAGGGCATTTGATCAATGTTTGTTGAGTGATTGGAATAAACCAGTAATATGTCTATTTTTAACAAGTTCCAATCCAAAGTTTTAAAAAACTGGTTATACCTTGACTGGGTGGCTCAGTTGGTTGGAGCACTGTCCTGTACACCAAAGTCTGAGGGTTCAATTCCTGGTTAGGGCACATAAGCTAGGTTGTGGGTTCAATCCCCGGTCAGGGAGTGTGCGGGAAGCAACAGATCAATGCTTCTCTCCCACATCAATGTTTCTTTACCTCTCTCTCTGCCCCACTCCCATTCCTCTTTCTCTAAAATCAATAAACATATCCTTGGGTGAGGATCATAAACAAACAAACTGGTTATTAGGCCTGTAAATATAGTAAACACAATTTAAAAACCCTCAATGCTTTTATAGACTGAACTATCTATCAATAAAAAGCCTTTTTTCCAGAAAGATCTAACAATCAAAAATGTTAATTTTCATCAATCAGGTCTTAATAATTAATTAAATTGGGTGGCTTCTGCATACTAAAAATGCCTTCAGTTTTTCAAAAAAATATATTAGCCTTAAAAAAAATTAGCCTTATCATAATCTTAACTAGACTCATATTAATGACAGCAATGGAGGGTCATAGAAGATGTATGGTAAAATCTATTTACTTGGCAGTGTACTGGATATTTCTGTTTATGAATATGAGTGAATGGAATCTTTCAGTCAACTGGAGGTTTCTTTACCAGTGTTTTAAGGATTTTATAATTGTAATTCAAAGCATTTCACTTTTAAGCAATTAACAACACTTAGATGCCTCCATTCCTCTGCAGTAACTAACAAGATTCTTAACTAACAAGATTCTTAAGCATAATCACTTTTTAAGGGGGGTTAGGGAGGGATAAAAGCAGCACTTAAAATGGTTTAGATGTCCATACAACTACACAGGAATGGAGGCATCTAAGTGTTGTTAATTGCTTAAAAGTGAAATGCTTTGAATTACAATTATAAAATCCTTAAAACACTGGTAAAGAAACCTCCAGTTGACTGAAAGATTCCATTCACTCATATTCATAAACAGAAATATCCAGGATATTGCTAAAGGGTGAGACAGCTCAGATGTAGGAACAGTCCCTCATGTTTTTACTAACTTCATAGTAAGTTAGGTTAAAATGTACATATATGTATCATATCATATTCTGGGCCATGGCTAACACCTTAAAGCAAAGAAAGTTACACAAAGGACAGTGCAGCTGTGTTTGGAGAAAAACAAATTCCAGTAAGAGCCAAGTATTATTTATGCAGATGTATGAGTCCTCAAAGAAAGACCACTGTGTAGCACAGTGGATCTGGCTATATTGGTAGAATTGTTCCTTGAAATATCTGCATAACTTGATATATAAGCTCATTAAAGAATAAGACAAAAGAGAAATTCATTTCATTTTAACTTTCCCTGGTTTCTAAACTTTGTTCGGTTGGGGAAAAAAAAGGTCACTAAAGAGCCGTTATATTCTTCATATTATGACTTCAAGTAATTATCCCAAATAATTCTTCAAATATTTGCCATGAAAAAGGAAAAGAAGTGGTATTAGCATTAGCAGAATCCCTGAAGGGAAATCTCCTGTTAAAGTGCAGAGACTGTAAGCTAAGGGTGTTCCACAGTTCTTTAACCTTAATATAAAAAATTTCTCATTCCAGAATACATGTTTTAACTCCTGTTAGGTGTTTAAAATATTAAATATGTTTAGAACAATTTGCACACAAAAAAATCTGCTGCTTTGTACAAACTGAAGTAACCTGACTAGAATGAGGAACTACAATTTTTTAACTTACACTTCTTTTTTTGCACAGATGATGCCAGAGATGACATCTCTCAAATCTTCTAATGCAGTGATTTTCAACCTTTTTGATCTCATGGCACACATCAACTAAATTACTAAAATTCTTCAGCACACAAAAAATACTATATTTTTTGCTGATCTGACAAAAAATCGGTTTAATTTTGATTCATTCACACCAGACGGCTATTGTTGTGTTGGCTGTCGTCATTTTTTTATTTGACAGTCTACGGGAAAAGAGGTCAGTGCCCCTGACTAAAGAGTCAGGCATTGCATGTTTTACAAATTTTTGTGGCACACTGGTTGAAAATTGCTGCTCTAATGCATTGTCATACTCAACTTCCACAAAATCTAGATTTGCACGTTCTACTGTCCAGGCAGCAAATGGAGACCATTCTATATATAAATTCAAATTATTTTCATACTGTATTACTTACATAGTTTTTTAAATAAGGTAATTAGTTGTGTAACTTCCTTTAAACACCTAACACACACACACACACAACCCGCACCCCCCAGGCGAAAGGTGACAGTAATAAAAAGTTCATAGGATATTTAACATTTCAACATCATAAAGAGATTTAAAGTGTTTCTCAAGATGTTGCCCTCTTGGTAAAATATTAGTTTCTTTTATTTACATAACATCTCTGGTCAGATCCAGTATCCTTCCTTACCCCAGTCTGTGCCATCGCCTGCACTTCTGGATTCACTGTCGCCTTCTTCTGATGTAACCAAGAAGTCAAACTCCTTTAAAGCTTCTTCTGTATCTCGATCTTCACTGCTCTCAGGCAACGCTTTTTTCCTAACAATCTAATTTTTAAAAAAAGCTAAATTAACATGTATTATGGAGTTAATTTAAATAAAGGAGAAGATATCCCTTTACCATTGTATGAGAAAACCCAATTATTGTTTTCTTCCAAAAGTGTATCTATGTTTTGTTAAGTAACTGTAACATCTATTCAAGAGTGGAAAACACAGATGCCACTTTTAAAAAATATATACATTATACATTTAAAGTAGTAATTTAAATTTTGTTCAGTGATAGCTTGTTTTAAATAAACTAATGGAAGCATATACTGAAAACACTGGGGTATAAGACATGCATTTAAATTACAGATATGTTCCTGAAATACTATAATATTAGAACCATAACCTAATCTTATATTTCTTGAATAACGTTTGTGCAGTGTGCAGACATTCTAATCTAACTAAAGAAACAAACACTTCATAAAATATTGCAAGAGCTTTCAGAATATAACCATGATAAATTTTAACTCTAATACATCATTCCCTTATGAAATGTACGATCACAGAAACTACAAACTCAGTAATGCATGCCTCAAAACTTAGAAGGCATTCTGTTGGTGGCAGGGTGTTGGGGTTCACATTATTATTATTTCTACTGTCCCAACCTTGCATGAATTTTCTCCAATAACTTTCTATACATTAAGTATTCACAAACCAGATTATTAGCATGTGGTAATAATCTGTTCTAATTTTCCCTGGGCAGGCAGACTAAGGTAGAAGTGTCTCTGACGAGTTATGCCAACAGAAGGTGCTGATCTCAATAGTTCCAGATACAAATGCAATGCCCAACCAACCTTCCGTTGCCCTACAGGCATCAATTGATCCCGCCCTTTTCGTGCCCCTGATGGAACATCAGACAGAATTTGGCAGGATCATCACCAACATCATATAGCTAAAAAATCCATGTTCTCAGTGCCTGATTAAAAAAAGGCAGGGAAAATACAGAAATATCTGGAATTCAATGTCTGAATGTATTGTCAACATTACTTATTACTATTATATTGCATTAAGTCACAAAACTAACTCTTTGGGAAAAACTTGTTTCTAGGTCTCATTTCTTCTTTATAAACAAAGAAGAAAAATAAATGGCAAGTTGAAAACCACTGTCTATCAAGTATCCCATTTAAATAAATAAATAGAAAATGCTGTATTTTTAATGGCTAGACACAGAAGAAAAGTGAACTGTGGTTACCAATGGAGAGCAGGATTAGTAAATGGGAATGGGTGGAATTTGTTGTAATAAGCACGTATTGCTTTTCTTCCTTATATCCAAGTTTCCACTCCACTCACACCATCAATGAGCTTATTAATCAATTTAAGAAATGAAGACAAACACAAAAAAGTTAAGGGTTGCACATGGTGCTAAGATTAGTAAAAAGAATAGGCTGTCACTTTGGAAACCATCAGAAGAGGCAAAACACAAATGAGGATGAGATTATACTGTGACTAAAACAACAGTTCATGATTCTTAATCCCATTAGCTTTTCCTCCCAAAGTGTCTGAAGGTGGAGGCAGTGTTGCTGCTTACACTCCTTATCGTTTATTTAGTTCAAAATTGATCACATTTTATATGCATATATAATTTCAAGATCATTACTACACTTAACAAATGATATGATGATGAGAATACTGATAATAATGCTAAAGAAAAATGAGATGAAGAGGGTTATCTTAGGGAAAGGGATAGGCACATAAAGGAGAAAAATGATCCAGAATATAATTCAAATAACAATCAAAACTCCAACAAAGGGCAAAGAGCAAGAAAGAAGGAACATATGTAGTTTTTTAAAACAACAAACAGCTACGAAGACCTGTGCGTTTCTGTATTTTCTTAGCTGAATCTAATAAACTATTTTGATTAAAGAAATAAAATATTTTTAAAAACCTCTTTGTTCTACTGAACATTTTAACTGGACAATTTTCAGCCATTCACTCTTTATATATAGTACTGCAATAAATCTTCTAAGTCATGCTTATTCATTGCTAAAGAGTTATATTTTTTAAGTCCTTTTGACATGTAGCTATTAGGCTGCAGCTGTGAAAATTAATGTAATATATCATAAAGTTAGCAAAACTACTATGAAGAAACCAATCATTTGTTTAGAAATATCTTTTCCTGGAGAACTCTAAGAATTTTTGGATCCAATGTTTCAATGGGGTTAAGTATTTTTACATTAGCTGTGTCTTTCATTACTTGGTCACAGAATTCGTATGACCTGTACCAACTGGAAGACAGGATATTTGTGAATCTGATCACTTAAAAAGAAACCAGTTTATAGTTAGGAATTTCTAGTGAGACCATACTTAATAATTACAATAATCAGCTTATAGAGTTTTAAAATATGTAAACTGATATAATAACAAAAAAATTTAGAGCATATCATAATTAGTTATTACTCACCACTGAGCTATCAATACATTATTTTCAGAAGAAAATAATATATCAATGTAATCACCTCATAGAAATCACAAGGAAGCACAAAATTTCTAAATTATTAGCACAAAAAAAGTATGCAAGTTTAGGCAATTTCTTTTGCTACAGTAACATAAAGCGCATGTTAATACTACTAGTTTGGATAATTTTAAAAAAAGGGTAACTTCTTGAAGTTCAAATAATATCCATGGCAGGGCTGTATCAGTAGAATACAACTTATATACTGTGCTATATAAGGGGCCCAGTAAAACAATACTCTGGAAGTAATAATTTGAGTTTCTTATGGAAGCAGAGGGCATAAAAAACAGAGAAGTTACACTTAGAAAACACTATATAAACATGTCAATACCGATAGGCTGTCCAGATCACTGGGAGCGGGCTGAGGGCTGGAAACAGGAGGGGCTGCTGGGGGTGATGAAGATAGGCCATGAGATAGATCCTGGGAGTTCTTCTGCACCCCGCCATGCACCTCCCTTGGGGTACTGAGGTTGTCAAATACAGTCAGACAATACTTTCATGAATTGCCCAAGAGCTATGGCAAAGATACCAAGTTTCGCAGCCCTGCTGTGTGGACAGGGCCACACTGCCCAGGTAACCAATGAACACTCCCCTACTCCTGGGCAAGATGGTGGCAGGAGGAAGTTCTCAACACTGAGCACACACAAGGCTGGCAAGATAATTGGATAAGAGGGGGAATAAAAGCCCTCCTACCCCCTTCCAGTACCAGACTGGGGGTGGGACTAGAGGAAGGCAGGCACATGCAAAATAGATATTAAAATGGCATCAGGGGGTGCTGGATCAAAGAGGCCCATTAGTCTAGCCTGGAGAAAAGAAGAGATTGATTGGGAACTAGACCACCCAAAGTGAGCAATAGTTTAGGAAGTTAATCGGTCATTCTGAGAAAGCACCTGGTGCATCACACACCTGAAATTTAATGTAAGTCCAGGGGAACAAAGAAAGTTCTCTTCCTTGTGGCTCACTGCTCAGGATCTGCACTTGGACAGTGTACTAGCCTGGCCTTTTTCCATGGGGCTCCTGACCTTAGCAGTGATGTGGCCCACGGCCTCCAGGAGAGCATCTCTCTCTCCTGCTGAACTGGTGGAGCATCTGCCTGTGCCTTTGTGCATTCTCCAGCCCAGGAGTATGAGACCCTAGAAGCTGCATGGCCAACGGCAGTGCCCGCTCCACACACAGCCTCCAGGAGGTCCCCTGAAGCCTGAGAGCAGGGGGAATAAGCTAAGCTACCTGTATAACCACGTAACAGCCGCCTCAGGTTCCAAAAGATGGTACTTTAAAATGGGGCAGGAGTTCTGGGCACCGCCTTTTTTTTTGGTCTTGCTGAGGACTGCTGGATTTTGTCTCGGTTTTGTGGAGGAGATGGGCTTTGAGACAGGGAGTCCCCCCATGATCCCAGATGGTTCAGTATTCAAATGAAAACCTTCTTCCTTTCTCATAAGACCTCTATCTCTAGATTTTGTCTTTGGTGATGGTGGGCAGCTGAACCTCACTTTGGTTCAGTAACAATATCATTTTCATATATACTGTTTCATTTATTCTTCAGAATGCTCTGGGGATAACATAGGTATGTATTATAACCCTCATTTTACAAACTAAAAAGCTAAGCCTGAAGGGTTAAGCTTAGATAATTAATAGAAATAGGACTTAAACCCAAGGCTTTTGACTTCAGATCTAGTCTTCTTTATATTACGTTATATTCCTCCTCCTCCATAAATAAAAGCAGAAGTGGTAATGTGAACATTTTCCTAGATAAAGCAAAGTACGCCCTCATCTCTTACTTTAAAAAGGAGGAAGAAGAAGGAGGAAGAAGAGAGTTAGAGGGAAAATGTAGGGCAAAAGAAAAGAGGGGAGCAGGGGAGGGGGGAGGGAGGAGAGAGTAGAAGGGGGTAGAATAGTGGAGGGAATGGAGAAGAAGCAATTTAGAAGCATCCCTTACTGTAGGAAATTACCAACAGAGAGTCAATAAACATAAATATGTAACCAAAACTCCACAAAAAACCTCAACAAGCTTGAAGAAATCTAATGGAAGAGTTCTGAAAGTCTATACAACTTGTCTGCCAAAGCAAAACTGCAGCAATTAAAACTGATGGCTCCATAATGGGTCTGTCAGTTCTATTGTCTTATAGCAACCAGTAACACTGCACTGTTATAACACACAATGTTTACCACATTCACCAGCCCAATAGAAATGTTGAAAGTTTAATGAATTAACAAAAAGTCAAAGAATGAGGCATTAACAGAAAGCTGCTATACTAAAAGTATTCTTGACTTTGAAATCAGTATTAAAAATTCTTTTAAATTTCCCCAAATTCATGGGAAAAAAAGCTAAGGATTTAGGTTGAAAGACATGGATTATTTTTAAAGTATTCATAATAGTCCCTAAAAGTATTTATATCGGAGTTATCCAACTCACCGTTGAAGTATCAATGATGCTTTTCTCTCGTCCATCAATGTCATCATCTTCATCTTCATCACTGAAATCCGCAGCTGCATTGTCAGGGAATTTGAAATTATCCAGCACAGAGGCAGGATCCGTTAACTCAGATTTCCTGGTTTAAAACATGTACATCTTGCTCAGTTAATTTTTTAAACTCAACGTAGGGATTAGTTCATGTTATGATGCCCTAACTTCTGTTTATATTGTAACTATGACCCCTCAAATCACATTATGAACAACACTGATTCTTATCCATTATATTTCTATCAATTTTAATTGGAAAAGCAATATAGGAAGTGATTATTTTTTAAAGTTTTTTGCAATCCTATCTATTTATATTAATGGTAATCTAATGTAAAGAAATCTCCCTCCTGATTCAGAAGTATTTTGATCCTAAGTTAACCTTCATCTATTTCTTTTTTAAAAAAAAACTTTTTATCTCTGCCACTACTATTCTCTATTCTTTTCCTCTATGCAACTCTTTCTATATCATATAACTCAGAAAATAACTAGAAAATATGTCATTTTTCTCTAATGCAATCTTGTATTTTGGAACAGCTAAAGAGCTGAAAAAAGCAAATGTGCACCTAATATTCCTAAGTACAATGTATTAGTCATATCAATATTACAACAAAAATTCATCCCATTGGTAAACATTAAACTTTTGGAAATGATTTCAAATATGTAAGCTTTTAATTTTTAGTTCTCTAAAAATAAATTTAATAAACAATTTCTTAATGTCCAGAAAGGATGATTTCTCTCTAGTTCATTAAAAAATGTTTTAGATTAGAAGGCTTTTCTATAACAAAATTTATCTACAGCTATGAACAAAATTTTCAAAACAGATAAATGATAAGTTTCAAATCTGCTATGAGCCATGTTTTAGGTTTTCACATTCTATTCTTCATTTCTACATAAATCAGATATTCAGAAAAATAGCCCTGTCAGCTTCAAAGGGCAGGTCAAGGCCAAAACACAAGTGGAGTGGTTTTTTCAGAGGGTCTTTATAATAACTCAAATTAACCCTTAGGGTAGAACTATAACCAAGAATAATGCCTACATTGTCTATGTCTACATAGAAAAACAATCTATACCTTACATTTATAAAAACAATTTAATGTAGCTTTAATTACTAATGAATACATTTTAAAAGGCTCCAATGACATCTGTTTACAAAAGTCATATTTTCAAACTTTTACTTAAATCATATAATTTTAGTTTATGTTCTAGATAACAGAAACTAAGTATGCAATGGAACAGCTATTTTCAACCTTTTTCATCTCATGGCACAAACTAATTACTAAAATTCTGCAGCACACCAAAAAATATATTTTTGACCTGACAAAAAATTGGGTGTAATTTTAATTCATTTACACTGGACAGCTACTGTTGTGTTGGCTGTGGTCATTTTTTTTTTAACTATCTGAGGAAAAATAAGTCAGCGTCCCTGACTAGATATCAGGTACTGCATGTTGAAAATCGCTGCACTAGAACATATTTAGAGTTTAATTAAAACCATTCTTCCAGCCTAAATAAACACTAAAAAAAGTAACATCATATTTAGAGTTTCACAGCAACTTTGGCTTTTTATTTAGGAGTCCAGCCAACTTTTTTTTCAATAAAGAAGAATCTCCTATTTAACTTTTCATGACCATTTTAACAGAATTACATATAACTGTATGATACATGATCCAAAAAAGCAAAACAAAGTATTTTAAACAGCTATTGAATTTTTCACACTCTATCAATTAAAAATATATACTCAAAATAGATATTTTTCAAAGGAAAGATGAGTTACAGCTTTATTAGATAAACAAAAGTGGCTAAGCTAAGGTTTACTTCTAGAGATTCTGCAGTATTTACATGACTACTGGTCACAGAAATGAAATTTCATCTTAAAGAAATTAATTGAATTTCCAGAATAAGATCTTTTATGAAGTTCTTATAGTGAATAACTAAGCTTCAAGATATTAAAACCTGTATTAAATCCACAAATTTCAAGCTATTATCTTAAATATCTTACAATATTCATAAATAACCCTAATCACTATGTGTTATCTTCTACCAAATGAATTTTAAATTATTAAAGTTTATTACAATTATTTCTATAGCAGTACCTAAAAGTGCAAGTACCATAAGTATCACCCATAAACCAAATACATTTAATAAAAATTAAAGTTATAGCTAAGACACTTTCCAGGCAAAATACTTACCCAATCATTGCTGTGTCTTTAATTTCACCCTCTGTGCCATTTATAACTGAGTCCTGATTTTTGTCATCTTCCCTGTCAGTGACATCACTTGAAAAGCCCAACAAAGCTCGCACTCGTTTAGATTTCACATCTAGAATAGTATCTGTGTAACCCACCTCCTGTAGATACCTGTGTATGAAAAGGATCCTTACAATTCAGCCATATTAGATCAGCATTCTATAACTCAAAATGTAAACAAAAGTATGTTTTTTAATTCATTGCCTGCATAAAACTTAACAGTGTAGTACTATGCTAGTATGGCTTGCTAATAAATAATGTTCCAGCTGCAGATGGAGCTGTCTCTTGCAGTACCAGTCTCTACAGTCACTGAGAAAAATCAAAGAAGTATACAATAGACCATTCATTATATTTATCGTAAGAAGATGTTCCTAAATAGCACATTCTTTCTTCTAGGCAGGTTTGGAATAAACTCACTCTCAGATCCTACTGAATTACTATTTCATAACAGTAGTTATCATAGCCAATAGTCTTTTTACATTTCTGATGTAAAGTGTCACTGGATCAATTGCTTGAGAACTAAGAGAATGTTTCTAGCATATGTAGTTTCCTCCATGACATACAAGAAAATAGTATATTCCAAAGAGTCACTTCTACAGGGAAGTTTCTATCCCGGGACAACTGTAAAATAAAAAAAGTAGACAATTCAAATGTGGAATGTGGGTTACCTGGGTACACTGGGAGGGGGAGGCATGTTGCAGAGAAGCAAAAGCACAGAAAAAAAAAGAGAATAGGCTTTGTATTTCGAGTTAGAACTGGGTCTAAAGCCTGTTTCTGCCACTTTTTTCCTGTTACTTTAATTCTCCTGAACTTAGCTTTCTTTCCCCTAAAAGAGACACACTTAACACAGTGCCTTGCACAGAGAAGGCACTCAATATGTAGTAACAAAAAAGAGGACCAGCTCACCCCAAAAATGGTAGTGGAACATGAAGAAGGCAAGTATCACTAGTAGCATCATTAATAAACACAGACAAATGTTAGGCATTACCTTATAAGCAAGCATCAGTCTATAGGGTGGAAGAGAAAACAAAGGTGGACAAGATAACCACCCTAAGGTCAATTTGTTTCGAGATCTGGTATTAACAGTTATTATATCTCAAAGAGATCTCTCACAAAGACATATGACCAAATGGTTAAGTGCAACCTTTCGAATAAAGACGCTTATTTTTCAATCCTATTTAATATTTATAGAAAGGGTTTGATTAAAATTTGGACAATAAATTTCTAACTTTCCTAAATTTAATCCATTGTTCTTGCAAACTAATACAGAGGTATTATGTTTTTCCACTTTTAACAAATAATATGTGACACATACTTCATTTTGGTAACAGAATCACATTACAAAAAACTTTCAAAAACTGCGCTTTCCACAGATAAATTGTGTTCACTGAATAGTTACTTCCTCATTCATTCATGAAATGTCACCTTTCCTTTAAGAAGATTATGAGTCTTTTAAAGTTTCTGAAAATATCTCTTGGATTACTTACTGTAACAATTTCTCATATAAAAAACCAGCAGATTAAGAACACGTATTTAAGGAAAATGCATAGATCATATTTAACACCAAAGTGAGGGCACTAGTAAAAAACCCCATTTATTAAATATTAGTGAAACCTCATTTTCTTCTAACTTTGAGTAGATAAAAAATAGATATAAGGAGACATTTGACTATTCTCTTCCCATCATTAAAAGGAATGGCTGGCATGCATCCACTTTGGAAATCACAGATTTAGACTATTTACAAGTGACCTCAAAAACTGAAAAGAGGCAGCAAATTTCACTTTACTGAGGCACAGGCCTGCGCACCAGTTTCAGATGTGATATGCAAAGCCTGGGCTCTGAGCTGGTGTGGTCCTAGCCCAGCACTGGACATCTGAACCTCGGCCCAGCTTTGTTTCCTCTTTATAGCCTCAAATAGCCATTTCATAGGAGAAAGTATATGTTAGTGATAGCTGCAAATTTGGGAAAATCAAAAAGCTCTTCAATCAATTAAAAATAGAAAGATTAAAAACACGAAATTTAATGCTAATTAAACAATAAAACTTGTATGGTCATGTATAAAATATGTAAAGAAAAGGGTAACTTTAAGAGTAGAGAATTCTTTAAACTATAAATTTTAGTGTACAATAAAATCTAGAAGCTTAAAATTGTATTTTTTTTTAAACTTCACCCGAGGACATTCTTTTCTCACTGCTTTTAGAGAGAGGAAGGGAGAGGGTTTAGAGAGATGGGGAAGGGAGGGAGAAAGAGAGGGAGAGAAACATCAATGAGAGAGAGAAATGTCAACTGGTTGCTTTTTGTATGCACCCCAACCAGGGACCAAACTCTCAGCCTATGCATGTGACCTAACAGGGAATTGAACCTGTGACACTTCAGTTTGTGGGACCACACCTAACCAACTGACCCACACCAGCCAGGACAAAATTGTATTCTTTTTTATGAAGCTAAAATTATGACAAGAATTTATTCTTGATCATTGTTATTAATATTTAATAAAAAATAAATTCTACCACAGGGGAAAAATGTTTAATATGAAAAAGGAAAAGTAATTGAATTAAGTTTTCACAACAGCAATATAATGAGATAAATTATTCTACTGAGTTGGAAATATAAAACAAAAAAGATCTCATGAAAATATAGGCTTCTCCTCTTCAGACTGACCATGGGTTACTTACTGTCTGAGTAGCTGTCGACCTTGTTTCCACATTAATTGGCTATTTTGTTGTGGCTGGACCTCTGTCTCATTACCTTCATCTAGAAAACATTAAAGCATAGTACAACTGACTTGTTATATACATTAGAGGACATCTTGGTTCATAAAAAAATTTATAAAATTAAGAATATGTAAAACTGCACTTTATGTCTTAGGACAATGTAAATTCTGTTTTTAAGTTGAATTTCCGTAACAAAACTCTAAATTCATTATTACTGCTGGATTCCTTTCAGAGTTGTAGAACTAAAATAAAGATATTTTCCAAATCTTTAGGCAGCCTGAGAATTTTCCTCCAGAACAATGACCTACCCAAATTAAGTCACAGAATAAGAGTTCAATAAAAGTATTATAAAGCACCACATCAAAATTAGAACAAAATACCCAGGAATGATTTTTTTTAAAGCCACTTTGATTAAAGAACAGATAGGAAATAATCTCAGTCCAAATCTATTTTCTTCACTAGTTATTAAAAACCTCAAGTATTGTTTTTAGACAATCTTTGAGTGAAAATCTCAAGAGGCCTTGTAAAGCTTTAAATTCATTATTTGGTAGAAGCTGAATCCTTTCAAGAAGGCGTTAAAATAAAAACAGCCTTCTCCATGGTAAGTCTGGATTAAATAATTTCTAAACTACTCTATGGCTCTACTTTAAAGATACAAAAAACGTGACACTTTCCATCAGTCCTGATCCAGCTATAAGAACCTGTGATCCTTATAGGGTTTTATTCAAGTGAAGATGTAAGACTGGGAATATTTGTTTTAAAATATTTGATATTACACATTTACTGTGTTCCAGATGTTAAAAATATCTAAATTATATGTACAAATTCAAAAGACTTGTGTTATTACTAGCATGTGTCATTTTAAAGACAAGAAATGAGTCGTACAGGTTAACTGTAAGGTCTTTAAGTTAGTAATAGAGTTGTAAGTGTTGAAGTCAAGTTTGACTCCAGAGCTCATACATTTTCCTCTACATGCTATCACTACAATTATAATAAATTAGAGAAATATGTAAATTAAAGAATCAGATCTTGCACTTCCATTTTTCTCCTAAAATAACTAGGCAAAGCTCTGTGATACACCAAAATAGCAGTAGAATAGACAGAGGGTAGGAGGGAGGTCAAGGGGACTAAGTTAACTCAGAAAAGAGAGTTACTTTGGGATAACATCAGAGGGTATACATTACTTTTTTTAGAAAAGACAAAAACAAATGTCTCAATGCTAATGAAAAATGATACATCTTGTTTCCACTGACCTACAAATTCAGTAACTGTGTATATAACATAGTATGTCCCAGGATGTCTCTTTCTTAAGCCAAGTGAGTAACCTATACTTGCCAAGTAAAAACATTTACACTGACATTTCAAAAAACTAAAACTTTCAGATGTGAAAGAACTTCTGAGGTCATCTAATTCTTCATCAGAACAGGCCTAAATCCTTTCTACACCATCCTCAGTTATTAGGCACAACTGCCTTTGCCTAGTTTGGCAGCTAGTGATATTACCAAAGTGCAGTACATCCAATCAATGGAATGTTAATAGGAACAAGGAACAAACTACGGACACACACCCATGTGGATCTCAAATGCATTGTGCCCAGTGAGAGAAGCTAGAATCAGAAGGCTACATTTTGTACAATTCTGGAATCCATATGACTTTCTGGAAAACTATAAAAACAGTGCCAAAACTACAGAAATAGAAAACAGGTTAGTGGTTGCCAGGAGATTACAGTGGAAAGGAAAAGGTTGATTATAAAAGGTAGTAGTAACAAGACTGCATGTATCTGAAAATACTAAAAAAGTAAATATGTAAATTATACCTTAAGAAAAAATAAATTAAACCAAATCAAATAAGAATGCATTTTCAAACTCTTAAAAAAAGTATATTCTTATATTGAGATAAAATCTGACTCCCTGAGTAACATCTGACATTTACCAACAACATAAAAATCTGAGGTGTAAAGGGGGAAAAAAAACACATTTGCATATGTAAACTTCATTTTCTCCACACTTTCTTATGTAGGCTAATCTGACAGACCTCTCAATGGTTAATAAGTAATCATCAACTACCAGTCATTTTTACCTTATCAAGTTCAAAAAGTGCCATTATACAAAAGTGAGGATTTTAAAGTGGACAAGAGCTGTATTTCTTGGTAATATTAAAAGCATTTGACTGGCACTTCTAGTCAAGTTGGAGTAAAAAGGACCCAATTTACTCTCCTGCTTGAAAACAAGTATAAAACAAAATATATGAAACAATGCTTAAGACACTGTACATCACACAACAAAGGACAGTGATCTCCGAGAGATGATCACTGAGAGAAAGGAAACAAACAGGTGAACACTATAATGGCTCCACTTTACTGACTTTACTGCCTTCAGAGTTTCCGGATCACATCATAGGAAGAGGAACAAAAACAGTACCTGAAGACACATGGCTGAAAAATGCCAAATTTCATGAAAACTGTAAACCCTTAGATCCAATAAACTCAACAAGAAACATTGGTTGGGGGGTGGGAAGCATTAAACCACATCCTAATAAAACTGATGAAAACCAATTAAAGATAAAGAGAAAAATCTTTAAGGTAGCCAGAGAAAAATGTCACATTCTATACACCGGAACTACAATAAGGAAGACAGAAGATACCTCTCATCAGAAACGATGCAAGCGAGCAAAAAAAAGACTTTTTCAAGACACAAAAGCTGAAAGAATTCATTATTAGCAGCCTATATTAGAAGATATGTTAAAGAAAATCCTTAATAAGACAGAAGGAAATGATACCAGAAAACATGGATCCATACAAAGGAACATGAGTAGTGGAATATATATACTTTTTTTAGCATTCAAATCTCTTTAAAAGAGAATTAACTGTTGAAATGAAAATAATGTAGTATGTGGTTTATAGAATAAGTAAAACATATTAAAATAATTACACAAAGACAGAGAGGACAGATGTAAGTACACTGTTATAAGCATCGCATGGGACACATGAAGTGGTATATTATCACTTAAACATAAACTATAGTTAAGTGTTTAAAACCTAAATCAACCACTTAAATAACAAAGTTATATAGCTAACAGACCAGAGAAAGTAATAAAATGGAATCATAAAAATTATTAAACTAATCCAAAAGAAATTTGAAAAAAAGGAAAAGGAAGCAAAGAACAGGCTGAACAAAAAGCAAGGTCAAAGCTTTAAACCTAACCCTATCAACAGTCATATTACATTTAAGCGGTCTAAACATCTCAATTAAAAGGCTGAATTTGTCACTTTGGATAAAAATATATTTTTATTAAGTATCTGTCTTCTAATATTAATAGGAGAAACTGAAATATGGAAGATAAATAGAATTTTAGCATAACCTAGGGTAATATTCTCTTAAAGGGGAAATGTGTAGGTTTGAAAGTAGAACAAAACAAAAAATAGAGTCAGACGGGAAACTAATTTTTTTGTGAAAAATGTTTTAGAAAATGTCTGATTGTCAGTGTTAGAAAAATATAGTAAATGAGTAAAGGAACAAAGAATGAGAAAACCCCTGCTTCTTTAAGATTTATCCTATTTGCATTGATATACTTGATTATTTCTGTGCTGGTGTCATGTTGTTTTAATTGCTGAGATTTTATAACAGATTTAAATTTTTTAATATTTTAGAATGGATTTTGACATTTAAAATAAATAAATAAAATTTTATTTTTATTTATTTTTATTTTTATTTTCTGCATTTTTTAAAAAAGAGAGAAAGAAGGAATGCCTACCAGTTGCAACAACATGGATGAAATTGGAGAATATTATGCTAAGTGAAATAAGCCAGTTGGTGAAAGACAAATATCATATGATCTCACCTATAAGTGGAATCTATTCAACAAAGTAAACTAACGAACAAAATAAATCACAGGCATGGAAACATGGAGGAGACTAAAAGTGACCAGAGGGGATGAGGAAGGAGGATAATGGCGGAAAGAAGGGGAAGGAACTAGACAAAGAACATGTATGGATGACCCACTGACGTGGACAAAAAAAGAAAAAAGGAAAAAAGAAAAAAGAAAAAAAAGATTTACCCTATTTGGATGTACCGCCTTCTTTCTATCCTCCTCTCCTAGTCCTACCTTTATCACTGCCATCTACAAATCCCTTGATTATGCTCCAAACCAGGCTTATACACTTCCTCTGCAACCAGCCTTTTATATCATCTTGAGTGAAGTTAATATTCATGGGGGTGATCCACCTCAGCTTCTCAAATAACCACCACCCTCTCTAGCTGTCATACCTTAGATCTTGTCATTACGAAGAACTGTCACAGATGCAAACTCACTCTCTAAGCATATCCTTCAAATTCAATACTCCCAATTCACTAATTCTTTGAGTTAGCTGGGGCTTTAGACTACAGGCCAGCAAATTACAGCATGTGGGTCAAATCTGGCCTGCTACATTCCCTCATTTATACATTATGGCTGCTTTCGTGTTATGACAGAGAGTTGAGTGATTGCAACAGCAAACATACGGCCTACAAAACCCAAATATTACTATCTGGCCTCAGAAGAAATGTGCTGGCTTGTTCTAGATCATAACCTGTCCTCTTATCCTTAGCCACTTAAGCTCCTTTCATCTTCACTTTCTTCCCCCTGGACTTTTAGTTCAGCCTATCACTTCAACCATTCTTTTGCCAAGGCACTTAATTTTCTTGTCCCCTTGTCTCTCCATGAATTCAATGAATTCAACTATTAACTACTTTCATTCTATTTAACAAGTGTACAGACCAGTGCTTCTATATAGATTCATGGTCACACACCTCAACCAGACCCTTAGCTCTTCTCAGTCCCTAACATTTTTTTTTCAGTCGTAACATTTTTCAGTCAGTTTGTCCTCCTGTTCATTTATAATAAACCTTCTCTACTCTTTGTAAACTCCTCATGCACTCTGAGCAGGTAATCTTGTCTCATACATAAAACTATCATATTAATTACCCACCAACAAAGTGAAATCCGAATGTACAAACCCATCATCTAACTTCCTAAATTCTTTCTTGATAACAATAAAAGACATGTTCCTCCTGCCACTCTTTAGCTATGTTCAGAACCCAATCCCTATCACTTCTTCAGATACTTATTTTTTGTATCTCTACTTTCTCCCTTTTATTTGCTCCTCCTCTAAGAAGTACATCCCTCTCTCTCTCTCTCTCTCTCTCACACACACACACACACACACACACACACTTCTTTGACCCCTGTCCTGTCAGCTCTTGCCTTCTAATCTCTCTCCTTCACCTTCACAACCTTAGCTTTCTGAAAGTTGACTACACTTAGTCTTCATTTTCCACTCATGTCTATGTCTCTGTCCTCACCTCTCTTCTGAAACTACTCGCAATAAAGTTCTCAGTGACCTGTTTGTCACTAAATCCTAGAGATATTCTTCAGCCCTTTGGATATTAATCAGTAATGCTGAAGAGTCGTTATTTCTGAAAACTGTCTTGCCACTTGGCTTCCACTGGTTTCCCTCCTACCATTAAGACAACCCTTATGAGTCTCCTTTTCAGGTTTCTATTTTTCTACCAGTTTTTTAAATGGTGCCATCTTTCAGGATTCCATTTTAGGTCCTCTTCTCACTCTGCCTAACGTCTCTGAGCGAGCCTTCCACTCCAAAGACCTTCAGTGTCATCAGTACTAAATGGTGATGCTTCTCAAATACACATATCATACCCAGACCACGGGCCTGGGCCCCAAACCCATACAGCTATCCACTTGCCATCTTCACTTGATTGCCTGACAAATAAATCCAGAAGTGAACCCACCATCTTCCAAACCTATGTCTAGCCTGGTTTTTTAAAACTAGAAGTGTGGAAGTCATCTTTGATCCTCTCATTTTTCATCCCCTACATCCAAACCAGAACTAATTCCTGCCTGGTGTGGCTCAGCTAGTTGGAGCATCGACCCACAAAGCGAAAGGTCACTAGGTTGATTCAGTCAGGGCCCATGCCTGGGTGGCAGGTTCGGTCCCAATTGGGGTGTGTTCAAGAGGCAACCAATTGATGTTTTTTTCTCACATCAATGTTTCTCTTCTTCTCTTTCTCCCTCCCTTCCTCTCTCTCTCTCTAAAAGTAAATAAAATCCTTTAAAAAAAAAGGATACTCTCAAAAAAACCCCAAAAAACTAGTATAGATTTTACTTCCTAAGTATTTCTGCACACACCCGCTTCCCTTCAACTCCATTGTTAGTACCCTTATCAAGGTAACCATCCTCATCTCCCAGGTGGCTATTAACAGCCCTCTAATCAGTCTTCCCATTTCCAATTTTGCTACTCTCTATCTAATCCATCTTCCAGACCAAAGGGCAAATCTGATCTCAAGAGTCCTAATTAAGTCCTTCAAAAGCCTTCTCATAACTCTTAGAATAATGTGTAAACTCCTTAATATAATTTCCAAGACTTTCTAACATATTTTACCATCTGTTCCTCCCCCACCACTGCTAACTCTCTAGTTGCACCTACAAACACTCATTCCCTCCCTTCCAATACTAGCGAGTTACTTCATTTCTCAAATGTGCCATATTCTTTACCTCAGGAGCTTTCCTGCTAAGACTCCGCCTTTCTCCTACCTATCATTTAACAAATATTTAGTCAGTCTACTTCCCCTAATTCTTACTTGTCCTTCAGATGTCAACTTCAGCCATCACTTCCTGCAAGAAGCCTTCCTTGACTACATAAGACTAGATCTGGTTCCCCTGTTATTGCACTTTGTAACACAAAACCTATTATCTTCCACATACATATCATTTTAATGTAATCACTTTTTTCTTATCTTCTCTGTAAAAATCCAATAGGGAATTATCATCTTATTCACAAAATTTGGTGCCAGGTCTGAAATATATTATATACTAAAGATTTGTAAGATGAATAGGTCATTTGAAACATCAATAGATGGAGTGATACTAGGTGCTAACTAGGTACTGTATAGTAAGAAAATAAACCTGGAGGTTAGCAATTATTTCCAGAATTTTTCCTAGAATACAGATAAGGAATAGAGGAACCTCTGAGAGATTAGGTAATATAGGTATTTAAAGTATTAGGGCAGAGTCAAATTTATACATACCTGATTTCAAAACCCAAACTTTTCCTACTGAACCACACTGTTTACTTATATAAACATTTTGTATGTATTACAAATAGGTCTTTATATTCCTAAACTGATATCTAAAAATTGGGAAATAAACTTTTTAATGTAAAAGTACTGATTAAAATCACTCCTTTAAATTAGGCAATATATTCTAATTTTAGGACAGTCTTTAACAAATAGTCCAGATATAAAAGAAAATATGTTCTTGCCTTTTTAAAAATTTAAGTATACCTCAAGTTAAAAGAAGAGATGCCAAAGTAAAAGATAGAACAATTAAAAAAAAAGGAAAAACTATGCCAATCATCAGGTATTACTCTCATTCTCAAGGATTCAATATTCAACTATGGAAGCATTTAATAACATTACTACACTGAGCTATAAAATTAGCAGCACATTTAGAACTTACTTTGTAAAGTTTTTTCATCTACTGTCAAATATAGAAGCAGTGTTGTAAATTGGGAAGAATATAAACTTTGGAGTCAGTCAGACTTGGGCTCAGGTCCATATTCCCATTACTTAATAGCTATGTCACCTTGGGCAAATTTCTCCACTTCTCTGAGTATAAATTTCACATACTTAAAATGAGGGTAATATTATCTTTACTATAATTATTTTAAGAATTAGAGTTAATATACATAAAGCCCCTGGTACAAGGCAGGTATCAGTAAATGATATAAATGATAGTTGATATCTTCAGATATTGATCCAGGAATTTAATCTGATATTATGTCAGAAACACATTCACCTGAAACACTGATTAATTTTTGAACAACTTTTCTTACTCTTCCCTTACACCTACTAATGAGTAAATTATCTATATTCCTTAATATCTGATTGTTTACAGGTACTAGTTTTATATTGTTTGGTGATGTGAAGAGGAAGTTAGGAGAAAAAGACGAAATACACAGCCCTGGCCAGGTGGCTCAGGTGCCTGGACCATTGTCCTGTACACCAAAAGGTGATGGGTTTGATCCTCAGTCAGAAGGCAACCAACAGATATTCTTCTCTCTGATGTTTTTTTTCCTCTTTCTCTCTCTCTACAAATCAATAAACATATCCTCAAGTGAGGATTTTTTAAAAAAGAAGAAACAACACAAAAAGATAATAAATGTTTCATCTGTTAAAAGATGATTTGGTTACAAAAAAAAAAAAAAGTGATCTGGTTACAGAATCTGCTATGGTTGAAAAAGTTCAAAAACAATTTTACGCCTGAAACTGAGGGATTAGGTTTATGGGACAAGGAATTCCCCTGTACATAAAGAAGAAATCTCTACCTCCACAGTTTCTACTCTTTCTCTCACGATTTCAAGGGCATGATGTACTTTGTACCACACATCTCAAAGTCCCCATTAATATTGGGGAGACCCAGCAAGAATCACTTATTTGATACATGTTACCCCATGAATTGCGATCCTTCCAATAACTGTAAAACATAAGCAGAAAACAGGGAACTAGAAGAAAGGGGAAAGGAATAAAGAAAGGAAGGTGGTGGAAAATGATCTAAATGACACTACATGAATAGTGCCAAAATAGGTCAGCAAAAATAACTAATATGCAAATAACTAAAAATTTACTTGCAGTTATAAATATTGTTGCTACAAAATACTGGATATTAACTTCTTTTTAATCACTTAAACTTCCTTTAAAATAAGCTTACCAGAATCATAGCTTGGAGGCTTCATATCTCCCTGATTCAATTCTGTCCCATATTTCAACTTGTGGTATTTGGCTCTAACAAAGAAATGAGAAAATACAAACCATCTTAAAACATATTTAAATAAACTTTTAGGTATGTAATAGGAGTAGTCATCAGTATGCAGCCATCCTAGCTAACTTTCAAAGGTTCATAGCCTTCCAAGGTGTCAAAGCCATAATACAAACACGTTTGCCATTATTATTCTGTTGCTATACCATCAAGTGCTATTATAATAAAGGACTAACACTGGGAACTATACATCTTCTTTCTGTACTTACTAGTGAACCATATTAACATTCTAGTTTTTGTTGTATTTAAATGTTCTTGATGACTACCAGAGTCTAATTCTATTATCAAAAACAGTAGATAAGTTTAGACTGTAATTTAAATTTGTAAAAAACTAACCTTTCTCAAAATTGAGTTTTTTTAAAAGAAAAATCATCTCTAATACACTGTACCTTGTCAGGCAATTTTGATTGGCCAAGTATGCATTATATTTAACAATCCAAAGGAGGGAGGGGGAACCAGCTCAAATAGTGAATGCTGAATAAAATATTCTAGCAGAGATGAATAAAAAATTTTTTAAATAGTCAAAGTATGCTTTGCCTTTTCAGGATGGAATCAGAACTATGAACAGGAATTCTTGTTTATGTTCTTTTAAAAGCTATATGAATGTTATTATTTATGGTTAATCTGATTTAACCATTGCAGATTTAACCACCTGAAACCAGAAAGATAAGTCTACATAAGGTAAAAATTTTTATGGTTAAATAACAATGGCCATACTTACTTAATGTATTTGTATATTTTAACTTGTTTGCTTACCCAAAACATTGAGGCTACTTACAATAAATATTCAATATAATGAGACTGAGATAATAACAATAACAATAATATGACAACTTAAGTAATAAAGAAGTAATGAAAATGTAACAGCCAAATTTGAAAGTTATTTTTTGAAAGTTATTTTATGCTTATAAAAAACTAGTTGAGCACTTATTACAAAGTTTTTATATTTCAAGGAAAGTGTAAAGAAAATGAAAATTGTTTGCTCCAATGTATGAAGTACTGGAATTCTTTATATTATTTTGCAGTTACAACAGGAAAAAAGTCAATGTTTTGTATAGAGAAGAATCTTAAGAAAACCTATAAAAATTATAGACAGTTTAAGTTTTATTTCTTAGGGTGGGTGGTGGATACATTCATATTTTTTATACTAGTCTTTATGTTGGTATATATATATAAAATATTTTGTAATACTATGTCATCGTTAAAAAAGAGAATATATGCTAATATCAATTGATCTCTAAGCTAATTTTAAAAAAACAAAGTACAATATACTATGTACATATGTGTTTCATATGTATGTTATATTTATTGCATATGCACTGGATATTTCTGGAAAGATTCATGATACATAAGACATCAGCTAAAAAGATTTCCTTTTGGAAGGGAAATCAGTGAACTGACTCAAAAGGGAAATTACTTTGTGTTATTTGTCTAATTAACTATATGTATGTATATCTTTTTAAAATTTTTTGTCCCAAATTATTTAGAACGTCTTTTTCTCTATTCCCAATGCTTCTCTTAATCAAATATTTCATCACCAGACTATAAACATTTCCTAGTCTATCTCAATGTATTTGCAATAATGTTGATCATAAAAGGGTAAGATTTATAGCCATTAATTTGACTCAAAGTAACCTCCTCGAAGTCAAAACAGCAACTGAAAGTAACTGGCCTGACGATCCAATAAAAGTAGCAATAAAATTTTATGGAGTTAATTTATATATTTTTGTTATATACATATAAAGAAAAACTTTCGAATTCAAAATACTGCACTATAGTGTATTCTAGTGGTCTCAGGAAGAATTGCAACAGATACAAAATAGGCAATAGAAAATATTCTATGCAATATATGTAACAAAAATAAAACACTATGAACTAACACTTTATAAAAAAATTAGACAAAGACTAAATAAGCACAGAACTGCTGTGTTTATAAACTGTGTTCCCTTAAAAATAATTTTATTAAATCCAATGAACTATTACTGAATTCTTATGATATGCCAGGTGCTGTACTGGCTGCTGGGAATAACTGGCAGCTTAGAATCAGTTATAAGGGTGGAGGCAAGGAGATGCCTAAGAGATGGAAATGTAAATAAATAATTATAGCACACTGTGGAGTAAGAGCTAAGAGTTATATTAAGTATTATACAAACTCAGATAAGGCATTATTTAATTCTGGTAATGGTGGTGTCAAGGAGAACTACCAAAAGAAGGTAACACATGAGATTTTAGCTAAATCTCAAAGCACCATTAGTGTAAAAAAGAAAAAAACAAAAAAGCTGAACTGCGTCAAAAATCAGCTAGCTGTGTGTGTGTGTGTGTGTGTGTGCGCGCGCTGCGTGCGTATGTGTATGTATAGGACTAGAAAGGAGCCTGGATGTAAAAGGTTTTACTAAGAATAATTTTGGAATTAGCCAGGTGTTTTTAAGCAGGCTATAACATCTGTGTTTTAAAAAATGAGTCCAGTGGACATGGAAATGTGTAAGAGCTCTATTTCACAATGAACTGCTTTTTTATTCCTTTATTACACTTCAATAATGCCATTACCTCAGGAATAATCTCTAATTATTCCTTCAAAATCATGAACTTCAAAAGATACTAAATCGGGTACTCTTTTCCAGGAGAATCCCATTAGTTAAAAAAAAAAAATCTTCCCTAGACCAGGCCAGTTCTTTACCTTTTCCGTTCTCCAAAGTCAAACTACTTGAAAAATACGCAACTATATCTGTCTCCACTTTTTTATCCTTCTCAGCCCTCAATCTCCTGTGATCTGCTTTATGTTCCTGCTGCCTCACTGAAGCTGTTCTGGCAAGGATACCAAGACACTCCTAACTGGCAAATCCAAATGACTATTTTCAGTACACAGTTTACTTGGAACCTGCAATTGTCATACTCCCACTTTCTTTAGCTTGCTTTAAATATACTGCTCTTTCCTTCCTTCTCCAAGCATTGTTTTGTCAGCTCTTCTTCCTCTGCCTTTTCTTCAAACATTTCCATTTCTAATAGCTCTCTTCCTCCAATATTTCCTCTTTTCTCAACTACTCCTATATCTTTACCTACAATATTGATGTATACATTGCTGGTCATGAGTCCTCTCCCATATTTGCCTTTAAACCATTAATTCTTATCCTTAATTCATTTGATAACTTCCAAAACTCACACGTCAAGCCAGAAACCTGGGAATCATTCTTGAATTATCTTTTTTCCTCATCCCCTACACCCAATCATCTTCCAGACTGTATGGATTCTATCTAAAATGTTTCAGAGCTGCTGCCTTCTCTGTGAAGCTACTATGTTATCATTCCTCATCATACTTGATTAAAATCTCCCTGCCTGTATTAACAGACTTTTCCAGTCCATCCCCCACACTGAGGTCGGGATGATCTTTCTAAAATCTATTTCACACTGTCCCATGCTTAAAACCTTTCAATCACATGACAACTAAATGCAATATGTATTCCTACACTGGTTGTGGACCAGAAAAAAAAAACTATCATTATTGGGCCATTTGGCAAAAAAATGGTATGAAGATCATCACTGGAACATATGAATATGGGCTATTTTAAATAATGGAATTATATTTCCTTAGTTTGATAATAAACTGTAATTATAAAGCAGAATGCTCTTGCTCTTAGGAAATATAAGCAGAGTAATTTAGGGGAGAAGAGACATAATGTCTGCAACTAAGTAGTAAATGATTTGAAAAAAAAAAAACAATATGCTAGAGTGTGGATGATGAAATTAATAAAGTGTGGTCAGACTGATGAATCTGGGAAAATGGAATATAGGTCTTGCAACTTCTATTAGTTTGAGATTATTTTTTAAAGATTTTGTAATTTTCAATATTCCCTATTATTTGTAAGATAAAAGTCTGAATTCCTTAGTTAGGCTCTCCCTGAACACTTATCAAATCACAAATAACGTCCCTCCCTCCAATACAGAGTAATTACAAATTTCTCAACACACCAAACTGCTTTATTCCATGTCAAACATTTCCTTTCTACTTCCTGAACCTTGCCTCTCTGCCAAACACACTATGTTTTTATAATGTTCAAGTCTCACCTCCTCTAACTACATCCTCCTTTCTACTTCCACCTTTGAGACAGAACCCACCACCCCCTCTTTGTAACCCCACTATAGCCTGCACAGACTTCTCCCAGAGCGCCCCTCGGACCGCACTGCGCCTTGTGGTGTCCAGGTCCGTTTCCAGTCACTCTAAGCACATAAGGGCAAGAACTATAACCTATGCTTCTACTCAGCCCCAGCACAGTGTTTAAGTTGTATGCATAGATTGGGATGTTTAATGAAAAGAGATACACACACATACACATACACAATATTTTTGGTTACTGTAGCATTTGTATATATCAAGTCTTCCATCTTATGAGATACTATAATGTAATAGCTTCAGAATCAGACAGACCTCAGAGATCTAAAGTCTCCACCTAACTGCAACTCTACCCACTTTGTTTTTAAGCCACAGGGCCTGGTATCTAATAGTTAATAAATAGTTACCATTTTAATATTATACTCTTTGCTTATGCCCATAATTTAGATAGCTTAGAATCTCAAATATTTCCAAACTACTACCTTTGAAAGTATTTTTTCCCATCTCCCCAATACAGTGTTCTTTTCAATCAACTTCTAAAGGAAAAGAACCACTTATTTTTCACTAAGAAGTCAACCTGTTTTCAATCTCTTAGGCCACTTAAAGATGCCACATGAGGGTGAAGTTCTAATAAAGCTTTCTCTATGTCTTGATATTCATAAATATCATCTGTTAAATGTTGTTTTATGGTAGTTTTGCAAACAGTCCATTCATCAACATCAAAATAATGAGAAATGCAAGTAATCACCAAAAATAAAGCAAAGTAGAGAATGTCAATAACATCTATCAAGAACTCAAAACAAAGAACTATTTCATACTGCTGACACAAAAATCCGAAGACCATCATCCATTAAAGCAAATGAACCTAATTCATATGAAACTCTCTGTGACTTACTGTCCTTAACTTACGACTGAAGTTTTAGTTACTTAAGTATCTCAGACACTAGCAAGCTAGAAAGTTAAGATTTGCTTCTGGAGAAATACAAATAGCTTATATCAAAGGAACAAAACACCAAAAAAGTTTATAAAAAGATTCTCAACATAGTCTGCCCAGAGCAAATTTTTTCCAAAGAAAATACATCAAACTGAATGATATTAGATAACAGGAAAAGGGTTGTAAGCATTACAGAAATTTCCTTTACTACTCAAAACTATTTCAATTCTCTAAAGAAGTGGATATTAATAGTTCAGTTAATAGTTCAGTTACTATACGTTCTTATATGTTTCTTAAAGAACAGGGTATGGAAAATGTTGCTAAAATTTTTCAAATCACATAAATCAGTTTGTTGGTCATTATTATTGAATGTTAATAATATAATTAAATTAACATATTACAACCATTTAAAAATGTCTATTACAGATGATACTTCCTGAATTCAGAAGTATAAAGTACTGAAATTGTTTTAGGAATGACAGAAAAAATATTCCAATATTTAAAGACTATCTTCTATTTTATATGAATTACCTTTCCTGTTTAAGAGCATACTCCAGCATTTTGATCCTCCTCACAAGATCCTTCTTCAAATTTTCTTGACCTTTCCTTTCCCCCTGAAGGAAGGCAATCTGGGCCTGAGTAGGGAAAAGAAAGATAAAACTCAGTTTAGACCAATTTTTTTAAAAATTCGGTTAAGAAAGAAACTTTGGAAGACAGAACAATTACATACAAAAACATTTCCTTTGCATATCTGTCACAAACCATGAAAGTATACAGAAAGGCATTGACTGCAAGAAAAAAAAGGTTTAAGCTCTGGCTGCTGTGGCCCAGTGGATTGAGCACCAGCCTGCAAACCAAAAGGTCACTGGTTCAATTCCCAGTCAGGGCACATGCTTGGGTTGTAGGCCAGGTCCCCAGTGCGGGGTAGTATGAGAGTTAACCAACTGATATACCTTTCGCACACTGATGGTTCTCTCCCTCTCTTTCTTCCTCTCTCCCCCTCTCTCTAAGAGTAAATAAATGAAATCTTTTAAAAAATATGGCTGGATACTGAAAGAAAAAGTTTTAATTAATTTTTTTTAAAGAAAAGGACATCTATATTCATTTTACTTCAAGTTAGGAAGGTTACAAGGTATAGTCCATATCCTTAAGAGTCTATAATATAAAACAACCAATAAATGCAGACATATGCAAAGTATATAGTATAGTGTGTTCAAGTGCTTGTCTCCCAAGGCATTGGGGGTTTTCTCTTTTATAAAGAGTAAAGATGGGGAAAGAAAAAAAAATGTGAGTAAAATCATGAGTTCTTACAATATCCTTGCAAAGTAAAAGTTCTCAGAGCTTCATCATCAGAGCTTAGTTGGACTGTCCAACTAAGTTTTAGAAAGCAAGCCATTAAGCTTACTTCTACTTAATTTGACACTAATTTTTATTTATTCAGTACCAAAATTAACAGTAAATCCAATTTCCAGAGCTTCTTACAATTATTGTTATGTAGGTAGTTATGGTTTTGTTCTCATTTCAACAGTCTCTTAAAAGTTTTATCTGCAATTAAATATTTTTCTCTTACTGAAATAATTAAAATAATCTAAAAATAATTTAACTGCATACAAAGGAAAATGGCACCAAATATATATGATATCTATATTTAATGATCATAAAAACCTTGAAATTATACATTCAGTAATAGGATCATTATTTTATATAAACATAATAATAATAATACATGCATTTAAAGCTGACAAAAATAAAAGACTTGTCAAAAAAGCACTACAGTCCACTTGTTTGGTCAAACAGTGCTTTGGCACAGAATTCTATACATTCTTCAAAATAGCTTTAACAAAAACAGTAATGTAATCAGTATAATCATATAACCAAGTTAATAATAAAACTGATTATCAGCTGTTCCCTTTCTATACCCTTTGGCTAGTTTTGTATTTCTACCACTGTCATTGGTCCTGGATGATTCTGCAACTTCAGCCTCCAATATTCAAGTCTTTAACTCATTCTCACTGCACCAACTATCTCCTTATGCTCCCAGTACACTTACTTTGCTATCTTCCTAGCAATTCACATATTGGGTTAGTTAACTATTTAATAAAAATAGAAGACCCAGAATTATTCAAGAGAAAGATTACAAAAAGGATGGAAGTACCCAGAAAAGGCAAACAAAAAGATGTAAGAGGAATATCTCTCATATTCCTTGATGATCAATCACAGAACACTTCCATGGTATTTCCTGCCAAAGATACATAACCAGAAATCAATCACAAAAAAAAAATCAGACAAATTCAAATTGAGGGACATTTTACATTAACTTTCTTGTAATATTCAAAAGTATCAGGTCCTAAAACTCAAAGAAAAAGGACTGTTTCAGATCGAAGAAAACTAAAAAGACATAAAAACCAAATGTAACACATGATTCTGGACCGGATTTGGCTATAACAGCACATTATTGGAACAAGAAACATTAATGAGCTCTCAGGATTAGATGATAGTAATATATCAGTGTTAGTTTCCTGATTTTGATGGCTACATGTGGTTACATAGGATATTACTTGTTTATAGGAAATAAACCCTCGAATATTTTGTGGGAGACAACAGGCCATCACGTTGGCTGGTAACTTGCCCTCAATGGTTCAGGAACAACAAAAAAATTATCTGTTTTGCCCTTGCAACTTTTTTGTCAATATAAGATTTAAAATCTTTTATTTTGAGAAGGATTGAGGAAAGAGAGAAAGAAAAGTGAAGAGAGGAGAGCAGAAGAGAGGAGAGGGAAGAGAAAAGAAAGAAAAAGAACTCATGGACACAAACAACAGTGTGGTGATTGCAGGAGGAGGGGGTAGAGGTGGAAAAGAGTGTAAGAGGGATAAATGATAATGGAAAAAAATACAATAAAATATAAAATAAAATCTTTTATTTTGAAACGAACACTATGCTACACCAACTTACTTGATGATTAGATACAAACAATACAATTTGAAACCAGCATCATGCATAATGAAGAAACTGTACTGACATTCAGGAACAAAACAAAGATGTTCATTTATCACCACAAATATTTTAACACTGTTCAAGAGGTGGTAGTAGCCAATGTCATTAGATAAAAACAAGTAAATTTATACTTCCAGTCAAGATGGAGACGTAGGGAAATGTAGCCCACCTCTTCGCATAACCACAGAAAATTTACAGAACAAATATCACCCAGAACTGTCATAAAATCGAGCTATATGGAAATCCAACAACTACGGAATTAAAGAAACCACATTCATCCAGACAGGTAGGGACGGAGGGACAAAGGCACGGAATCAGCTGGTCCTAACCCAAGTGTGGTAGATATAAAACAAAGGGATCTCCGGGAGCAACAGATTGCAGCCCCACACCGGACTACCCGGCCCAGGGTTCCAGTGCCAGGAAGGTAAGTCCCTATAACTTCTGGCTGTGAAAACCAGTAAGGGTTGGGTCAACAGAATAATCTGCGGGATTCTCAGGCCTCTCACCTTAAAGGGACTTGCACCATACATGTACTTACTCACACTCACTTCCTCTGGGCTCTAGCACCAGGGCAGCACCTCAAAGGGCACCAGTGGCTTCGGGGAGGAACTGAAGTGTCTGGCATCAGGGCCAGAGTGAAGGAAAGCCTCCCCCTAGACAGAACTGTGGACAGCAGCCACTGTACACCGCCCCCCCGCCCTGACGGAGCGACAGTGCAGTGGCACTGTATCTGAATCCCCATTAGCGTGGCTCACATAGTAAGCACTGCCCTGACAAGTACCTAAGGATCTGCCTCATCCAACTTACGGGCCCACCCAAACTGGTAACGGAGGCTTTTACATATGCAGGGCTGTGCAAGGTGCAGGCTTCAGACCTTCATAAATCCACTCAAAGGAGCAAGAGCTGAGCCCAGCACCTCATATCTCTCGCTGAGTGGCCTGGTTCTAGCAGTGGCTATCTGCAGATCACTTTATAACTTATGCCAAGGAGCCCCAGACAGAACACAGGTAGAGACTGACCTTGGCCTGCACCACCTGGGAAACCCAAGAGCCTGCGTACCCAGTGGACAGTTATAGACCACTTGGGAGCACCACCCAACTACCTCCAGAAGCCACAGAGGGAGGTGAGTGCAGGCCAGGGGTCAGACCCAGTCCTACCAGCTGTCTGCACTGGGTAAATCCCTCCCATTGACCTGCTGACAGCAATCAAGACTCATCTACAAGAGGTGGAAGTACTGAGCCCACATGGAGGGCTCACCTTGAGTACACAGCTTGGGAGATAGGGGAGACTGTGCAATTGGACCCTACAGGACACCTACTACAATTATGCCATGCTACTAAGACACAGAGTCAAAGCAGCCAGCCATACCTAATACACAGAAGGAAACAGAGGCGGCTGTCAAAATAAGGGGACAAAGAAATATGGCCCAAATGAAAAAACATAAGAAAACTCCCCTAAAAGAACTAAACAAAATGGAGATAAGCAATCTATTAGATGTGAAGTTCAAAACACTGGTTATGAGGATGCTCAAGGAACTCAGTGGGGTACTTCTAGAGCATAAAAAAGAACCAGGGAGAAACAAAGGATATACTAACTGAAATAAAGAACAATTTACAGGGTATCAACAACGGACTGGATGAAGCCAAGATCAAATCAATGATTGCAACATAAGGAAGAAAAACACATCCAATCAGTACAGAAAGAAGAAAAAAGAACCTCCAAAAATCAAGGATAGTGTAAGGAGCCTCTGGGTCAACGTGAAGTGTTCCAATATTCACATCACACGGGTGCCAGAAGGAAAATAGAAAGAGCAAGAAACTGGAAACCTATTTGAAAAAATAATGATGAAACTTCCCTAATTTGATGAAGGAAATAGACATACAAGTCCAGGAAGCACAGAGGATCCCAAACAAAATGGATGTAAGAGAACCACACCAAGACACATCATAATTAAAATGAATGAAAATGCTGATTTAATTTTATCAGGATAGAGCTAAAAACACAATCATAAACAAATAATTTGGGAGAGAATCATAAAAGCTAGTGTGTACTCGCCTGTCAGCTTGAGGATCTATATAAGATTTCATACCTCAGTGGAGTAAAGAGCTGGGTTTCTGGAACAGCTCTGAGCCTCACTCTTATTGGTCTATTTGCTTTATTTGTGGACACCTAATATGCCAGATGGTATAAGTCAGTTTCTCCAAGTGTTGTCCCAGAGCAGCAGCATTAGTATCGCCAAGGTATTTGGAAGAAATGCAAATTCTCAGGCCCCACCCCAGAACTGTTGAATCGGAAGCTGAGGGTGGGGCCAGCAGATAAAAGCTGTGTTTTAACAGGTGATTCTGATGCTTAAGTTTGATATCACCAAGTTTTGACACTGTCCTTAGGAGAAAGGGCTAGTTACAGGCACTGACTGTATGTCCAAGAAAACCAACTAATAGTCTAGAACACTCTTTCCTCAGATTTCACCTCTTCAGGTTTTGCTCAAGTGACACCTCATCAGTAAAGCCTTTCTTCCGTACCCTATCCTCTCAAGCATTCCATACCCAATTTACCACATTTTATCGTGTCACTTATTACTATCTAACATTTTAAGAATACATTTATTTATTTATTACTACCTATTTTCCCCCACGATTTA